GTTGTAAACAAATTGGAGTTTGGTTTGAAATGTAAACAATAATGAGATTACTACTTTTTCCTGACTTGATGACTGCAATGACAGTAACATATTCCACTCAGCTATTCTTCAAACTGCTGATGTTCTAGCCAAATACCCACAGCCCCTAGTACAGTATACAGGAAGTTAGCCCATGTATTTATGATGCGGCTTACAGTTGACTGGTGGATTTTGAATCTGTGGGCCAGATCCTTCTGCATCAGACCCAATGACAAGTAATTCATGAAGAGAAAATTCGTCAATGGGTTGAAGAACCTGAAAAGAGTAAGAATTCCACTATTACCTCATTACACAAATATATTGTTACTGGCTTAACTTTCAAGATGATAAGATGATGCAATATATCTTGCTTTGTAAGAACAACTGTAAAATATATTCACCGTTGCATTGCCAGTGTGAGGGACCTCATCAGTCTTTGCTACACTTCGTGTTTTTGTCACCCGTATGATCTTACAGGTGGCTGGCTCTATCTGCTTCTAAAAGGCCATCAGGTGGGCATGACTTGCAAACCTGTGGGACATACGTGTTACATTTCTATATGTTAAGTGTCCATACACAACATTAAATTGCAAGCATGTTAGCATCCTTATTGACAGTTATACAACATCTTAGAACATTTGGCACTAAGGTCAGAAGCTGGACCACGCACACGTCAGTCCTTTTGCTTACTGCTCTTCTCAGTATTTTAAAATACAATTAATGTGCTAGTAGATAGCCTAGATCTAGATAGTTTTAGATAGATACTTTACTCATCCCGAGGGAAATTCAAGGTTTCCAGTAGCTTACAACAACACACATCACACATGCAACATTTAAACAGATAATAATCCTAGTCATTGTTGACAGCTCAAATGCATAGGCCTATATATTAAACACATTGGACATTTTAATTTACCTTGTGAAAAACCTTATGACATCATCAGATCCAGCAAACCACTCCAATCAGAACTTGCTGCTGATAGTTATCTCCTCAATTTGATTTCGGAGCCTTGCTATCTCTACACTAAGTTCTTCATTGTGGTCAAGGGACATATCCAGCGCAGCAGGTTCAGTACTGTTGCAGTAGTCATGGTCAGGAGGACAGTCCAATTCCACAGACGGATCATTCATGGTTTCTGTGTTGGGACGCTCGGTCCTTTCCCAAACTCCGGGCCGTGGGGCTGGAAGACTGAAATTGTTCCATTGAAACAGCACTGGAACAGCTCCCTTCTTCAGACGTCTGTGCCCAGCTGAGTCACATCTTCACTTAGAAAGTGTCGGCTGCAGACTCATGTGTTTGTTGTAAGAAAGTTGACTCGTCGAATGTTAATCACCCACCGTTTATGTAATTCACTGTCTTTGGGAAAAGTTTAAAAAAACTAACAGAAGAATTGCATCTGACAGACACTGTACATTGCGGCACACAGCAGTGATGGCTGGAAGAGCTGTCATCCCGTTTTTGAAAGGACACTTTCGTACGTTTACACGTCATCGTGTTATAAGTCAAGACGAAGTATTACAAGTAAAAACATTAACATAAACATTAAGATAAACGACGAAAATTATCCGTTTCGTATGTTTTTGACGACAAGCATTCAATGCAAGCATACGGTAGCATAGCATTCTACGGTAACCGGAAGTTTACATCCATCCTGAGATTTAACCGGAAATACGTCATGCTCGCCTGTGCATATCGCCTATTGCCTAGAAAAGATGATGTCCAATCTATAGGTAATCTGTCTTTCCCTCAACACCTCATGGCATGTTATGTTATCTTATCTTGCTGTATACAGATCTAAATGTTGTTAGCCAATCACAGACTGTGTTGTTACCAGTTCCAGTAGCCTACATCAGACAACCAATAAGAGTTGTGGCCATGGCTTTCAGTCGAATAGAGGAGTTCATAGGCTTTCCCAGAGGGTCCGTGCTATTCGGAATCCTTGGGATGTCCCTACCTCAATCAAGTATAAATGTAAAATTGTTAAGTTTAGTGTTAGTTAAGGGTTATAGTTTAGGGTTTAGGGTTCAGGGTAGGGACGTCCCAAGGAATCCGGATAGCAGTGACCGTTCATAGAGTGAGAGACGGGCACGGTATTTGAAATCTCGGCGGCGACACAGACATTCATTTTTATTACTTTTTTTACAAGCGGCAGATCTGCCCCAATAGTTAACTTAGAGACGATTAAAATAATTACCAAGGTGTGCTTGATCCGATTGAGGAGTAAGTAGGCTATATTTAAGTTGTGATATCGTTAGGAAATATTTAGGCCTACTGTGTTGATAAGGCAAATTTGGTTTATTTGAAAATAATTACTTTTTGTTGATAACCAGTTGATAACATATTGTCGAAAGCACGTAGGCAATATTATTTACTGTGTCGATAGGGGAGTAGGCTAGTGTACAATAATAACGTAATTTGATGTGCCAGTATTATTTATTTCATTGCTGAATTAAATTGTGAATGAAAATATGCACACGTGGTGCTGTAGGATATATATATATATATATATATTTTTTTTTTACATTGTAATACACTACCCCTACATGCCATTGTACTATAGGATATATACATATTTTACATTGTAATACACTACCCCTACATGCCATTGTGTGCTGGAGCTATGGGTTTATTTTTTCCACTGTCACTATGCCTACACATTCACACTCGAACTGAATTGAATGGGAGATGCATAACTACTTTTCACTGAAGAAGGGAACGAGGTATGACATACAACTTCGATCGAAGACCTTAAAATCATGCCTGACAAGATCAATGAAATCATAACGGTATCCTAATATAGTGTGGATACAGGAGTAGCCTATTCTACAATAATGTAACTATGTGCTAGTATTATTTATCTAATTGATAAATTAAATTGTAAATGTGGATGGGTACACTACTTCATTCACTGATTACGGTATTGTACAAGGTAGATACAGGAGTAGCCTATACTCTACAATAATAATGTCATTGAATGTGCTATAGTATAATTTATTTCAATGATTAATGAAATTGTAAATGGGGATGGGTACGCTACTTCATTCAGGGAATACTGAATGTCTTGCTATCTCTGGGAGTATGTTAATGAAGGCTTTTCAGCTGTTGAACTATGGCAAGGTCGAACTAATTTCTAAATCTATATATTTTTTTAGTCAACAAGTGATGAGCCAGAGCAACCAATCAGCATCACTGTAGCTGTTCTACCCACCACCCACACTGCTCTCTCTCCACAAGCAACCACATCCTCTTCTCCTGTTCAACTAATTTGCTGCCACACTGAAAAGGACTGTACATACATACCTCTGTGCCCATCTCATTGCAACATGATCCATCCAAGGCCAAAGCTGGACGCCTAAAATGTGAGAAATGTAAACAAGATGCTACAGTAGTGTGTGTGTGTGTGTGTGTTTGTGCAATAAATAATTGTTCATTGGTGGTGGGGAGTTAAGATAACAAATACTATGAAACATCCCCACTTTTAGCACACATTTGCAAGCAGGCAAAGTAACCTTCTATGTGTGCTGAGGCATGTGTGATCACTCAACATTGACAGGACCGACTAAAAAAGACATGCTCACATGCAAACAAAAGATAACATGTGTCTAACTTGCACCGTTATGCAATTATTAGGAGACTAGATACATATCGCTAATCCTGGCTACCAATGTTCTAGCATTCATTTATTGAGGCATGCAGATCAGAGATGTCAATGTGGTACCCAAGCATATATTTTGACATACCTGATAAACCTGTAACCTGTGTGTTTGCTTGATTACGTCTGTCTCCTACCCTGACCACTATACTCTGCTCCTGTTCTCCAGGACCTAGGGGTTCTGCCTAACACCCAAACATGGATCCACCCGATGTCCTCCATTACCGTCCACCATCCAACTTTTCATTACATCAGCTACTGTTATTGTCATGTTGTCATTATCTGCTAAGAAAGATCAAGAAAACTATCATACTGGGCACATAATGTGAGATTCACAGATTAGCTAAAAACATTAGCACTGCAAACACTCAGAACACAGAGAGCAGCAGCGCCTGGACTTTGCAGTCTCCCTCTTCGAGTCCCTCTTCAGAGACTGACTGCTTGTTGAAAACAAGTGACTGGCAGAACCTCCCATCCACACAGCACCCACCTCCTCTCTATTCCACACACCAGAATTCAGTATTTCAGTCTATGATTGCCATGTGAGTGTACAAAAAAATCTGTGAAAGTAAATTGACACACGTACCAAAAAAATATCAACGTTTATATATTTAAATCTAAAATATTGCCAAATTGATTTTCACAGCTGTTTCATAAGGTGTTCATTATTGTAAATTGTAAGGTATCCCTTGATGGTATTTGTTAGTTCAACATGATTCATTGTTGTATCCTTGGACATACAATAGATATATATTCAACCACAAGGGTGTACTAATGAGCTATGATTTTATTTTTATCATAATAGAGGACTACTGAAATAATGTTATTTCAGGGTAGATAAGGGAAGGCCTGTTTAAAATGAAAACATGCCAGCCAGACAATCAAGTGTATGAATCAAATGTATTTGCATATGAATGGAGTGGAAATCAGCTGACTTTGTGATCTGTAAGGTAAGTAACATGAATGTGTTGGGGGGCATCGAAATGATATGATTTTTTTTTTTACCCCGATGCCTGTTTATTCATAAAAAGCAGAAGATGGTAAATAACATGAATCACAATGGTTAGCCTATGTGAATTAATAGGAAAACAAAAACGTAATAATAGGGCAAAGGGCACTAAACACACTGACTATAGGATTCATATCATGTTGCTAGTGTAGGAGGGGATATGGAGAGTTTACTAACCAGTGGAGGGCAAAATTGCTACTTTGAATACAGAGTTAAGCTGGTGTTCAGCCCCACCTTTCCTCACAAGGGAATGTCTGGGAATGTTGATCTGAATAAATTGTTTTTCTACTGGTAAGGCCTGTCAAACAAGAATTTACTTACAGGCCAGAACAAGTCACTTTATAAGGTTACAATTATCTTACAGCACCTAAAGAACAGGTATAGTTTCAAGCAGGAACATGCAAATATAAGATACTTGCTATTGGTGCTCATACATTCCCACGCCCAGTATGTTTAAGAAGGAGTCTTCCACCAGTGGAACATTGTGAAGGTTATCTATCTACCTGTGCTGAGGACCACAACAGCTTCTTCTACCTAACCAGACCAACAATGCCGATTTTTGTGGTGCACACAAACGTATGCAGGGATAACGTCCCTGTAGAACTTCTATCTGAAGCTACAGCGAAATTGGCCGAAGCTATGCAATTACCGGTTAAGGTGAGTTTCAGAATCTCTATTTAGATTCTATATTGAGAATCTAGAAGGTTGTCGATACAGTAAACGTATGTGTTAAACTGTCCCACAGGGTGAAGACGTTAATGCAACATCTATTCCACGTTGGTTCAATGCAATTTTATTGAAATGACGTGGAAAGAACATTGATTCAACCAGTGTGTGCCCAGTGGGGTGCTCTCCGTCTCTCAGAGCTCCTCAGCACAGGAAGTTAATAGAAATGTTCACTCTGTTGGAGCTCATGGAACAATCTAGATAAGAGATAATCTATTTATTATAGAGGCTGCATCCATTACAAAGGGTATAGCTATTTGTTTCACTGGCATACATGGTCTGTGTCAACACTGGGTTCATAATGATTATTTGCATTTTAGAACAAAGTTATATGCTAAACATAGTGACAAGTCTCCCATGTCTTTTGCAGTACTTTGCAATAAATATAGTGGCGGACCAGTTGATGACTTTTGGGGGAACGACTGCCCCGTGTGCTCACTGCTCCCTCAACAGTATTGGATCTTTCAGTGAGGAAAAGAACCTGCAGTATTCCAAACTATTGTGTGGACTGCTCAAAAAACACCTGGGCATCTCCCCTGACAGGTATAATGGAATGCACACACACGCTCGCACACACATTGAAACACGCAATTAACGCATTAAATCTGTCTTGCAGGATGTATGTGGACTTCTTTGACATGGAGCCACAAAATGTGGCCTGGGACAACAAAACTTTCAAAGTTTTAATCGACGCCAAGAATGCTAAAACATTAAATGAGAAGTGAATGCATGCCCAGTCAAGTGACCTTTGATGTAACAATAAATTGAACGCTGTTTATTGTTATCTGGTTGTGTGTCATTGTGTAATGGACCATTCAATATTTGTAAAAACAAGGAAATAAGTAGGAATATGTAGCTGTCCCTGAGCCATGGATGGTTTCTGTACTTAAAAAACTAGTGGCCCCAGAAACAGTTTATCGTATAGAGGGCTCAGAATGCCACAGCACAGCCCACAGGTGAGACTACTTCTGCGCAATCGCCTTCACATGATGATCCCCTTGAAGCACGTTCTAGGAGGCGGGACCCAGCCGTCTAATGTTATTAGGTAGCTAGCTGTGTACAGTCAGCGCATATTGTTACACACTTTGTGGCACTAGGATGAGAGATTGAACGTTTCCAACTAGCTGATTGACACGAACCATTTGTCAGCGTTTGGCAAGTATTAAGGAAACTTTCTATTCGAGTCAAATGAAGCTGCTACCACTCCTGTGGTATCACAAGCTAGCTAGGTTAACGTTAGCTAGCTTGCTAACATTTGCTATTGTGCTAGCAAGAAAAGCAGGACATATGCTGGACAACATTCTGCTATCTAGCTAACTAGTATCTCTGGTAGTGCTAACTAGCTATGACGCTAATAATGTCTTAAATATCTAGCTATTTCTAACAGGTAAGCATTTTGATTGCCTGAATGGCTATTGGTCGCTGAGCTTCCCTATTTCACTGGCAAGATGACAGTCCACACTCCATGGTCACCCTTATCATGTATTTGACAGTTTGTTTGACACACACACATTTGACAGGGTGGACTCCCTGGGTGCTGGTGTAATCTGGAAGCTAGGTGCCAGTTTCATAGCTTGTTGAACTCACTGAGAGGCAAGGCAACTATGAACTTTAGAAGTGAAGTGTTTTTTTTCTTTCTTCCAGTGTTGAATTGATGTTGTTGCAGCTATGTCAGAGTTCATCCTAACCTTCCAATACCAGCTCAATGGAGTCATGGAAACTATCCTCAAAACCGCCGTGCATGAGATCACTCGGCTGGTGAAGGACAACTTCCTGGAGGAAGTGACAGGGAGCAAGCAGGAAGTGGACGTCTTGAAGGAGAGGCTGCAGAGGTGGAGGGACAGAGAGGAGGAGAGGAAGAGGAGGGAAGTTGAAGAGAAAGAGCAGAGAAAGAAGAGGGAAGAGAGAGAGCAGAGGGGGATGTGTAGGAGATGTGGTTGTGCTGGAGACACTGAGGAGAGAGAAGAGGCTCTGTTAGGTGAGTGAGGAGATATATATATATATATATATATAAACACACACACACACATGATATAGGATCTCTAATTTTGTACTGTTTTGTCCTCTGCAGTAGAGGAACGTTGTGTTATCGAACAGGAGATCTTCCAGCCAGGTGGACCCAACACTCTCCCAGAGAGAGAGGGTCCACAGGAAACGGCCACACCCAGCTCTTCCTGTGTCTCTGAAAGGATGGAAGAGATGGAGGCCCATGTCGTCAGCATCAAAGAGGAGCATGATGACTGGGGGGATCTGGTTACCCAGATGATCACATCCACAAATTCCCCCATAATGAGCCAGAGTCGTCTGCAGAGATTGAGCTCACATCATGGGGCCAGTGAGCTTCTTCCTCCAGCACCACGGGCCAGGAAAGAGCATCACCTACTCCCAAGGTCAGTGATACCCACTCAGGGGACAGAGCATGCTGTGGGGGCCTTCGAGACCAGCCCCTACGGCATGAGCATCAACACAACGGCAAAGCTGAGGGTCAAACCCTACAGCTGCCCACACTGTGGGAAGAGCTTCCCTCAGCTCCGAAACCTGAAAGACCACCAGAAGTACCACCACACAGGGAAGAAGGCCTTCACCTGCTCCCAGTGCAGTAAGGGCTTTGTGTACATGTCCCACCTCAGGGTACACATGCAGCGCCACACAGGGGAGAGGCCGTTCAGCTGCTCTCAGTGTGGGAAGAGCTTCAGCCTTCAGAGCGGCTTGAAGAGACACAGGGTCATTCACACTGCAGAGATGCCTTACCACTGCACGGACTGTGGGAACAGATTCAATTCTAGATCGGACATGAAAAGACATGAACAGATTCATGCAGCAAGGTAGACCTTTGAGATGAAGCAGGTTGATTTAGAAAATCAGAGGGGGGAAATAACTACCCACGTGTACTATGTTCAATGTGTTGTTGCTGATGCATTTAATGTTGAGAGGAATAAAACACATTATGAATACATTTTTCTCATCCTTTCTTAAATGATTCGTCAAATGGTGTTACATACACAAACCGATTCATTAAAATAGTAATAAGTAGCCTTGTCCGAACCACAACGGGCAAAAGAGTAACAGATATCTTCCTCTGGCAAATAAATACATTTGACAGATTCCAACATCAAATAAAAATATTTACGAGTTCTGCGCAATGGCATTCGCAGTATGATCACCTCGATGTCACGGACGAGGGGGCGGGAACCAACCTCTCCAGTAGCCGTCTAGCTAGCAGCTGTCATTGTACCTCAGTGGTAGCCGTTAGCTTATTAAAGTAACGTTAGCTAGCTAGTTACCCATCTTTGTTACCGCTGTGTAAAGTTCTAGGAGACCTATGATATTGTAACTAGCTGATTTGTTGAAGCACAACAAAAACCAATTTTTGTAAAGTGGTAAGCTTATTTTGTCAAATGGTTAGAAAGCTGCTACTACTCTGTGTTATTATGTGTAGCTCAAGCTAGCTTAGCTAACTAGCAAGCTTGAGAAATACATTATTGAATACACCTAACCACAAGTAAAAAGTGGTGTAAGGGTTTATTAATTTGTTCATTACGAGCATGTTTCTGGTCTAAATCATTGGTAGGTGAGCTGCCTAATACTGACATGTAATTTGAGGCACATCAAGACCACATTTGGTGTTTTTGACAGCTTGCCCCTGTTTCCAGGAGGAAGATCCCTGACTCTCTGGGCACTGGTGTGATCTGGAGGAGGCTAAATCCCAGTCTTTCCATTATAGTGAACCAAACTGGGAAACGAGGGGCAGCTCATCCATAGATGACTGGCTGTGAACTCTGGGACTGGTACCGATAAGGGAAGGGGGGGTTGATTTTCCAGTGTTGAGTTGATGTTGTTGCAGCTATGTCAGAAGCCATCCTCACCTTCCAGTACCAACTCAATGGAGTCATGGAAACGGTCCTGAAAACCGCGGTGCATGAGATCACTCGGCTGGTGAAGGACAGCTTCCTGGAGGAAGTGACGGGGAGCAAGCAGGAAGTTGACGTCTTGAAGGAGAGGCTGCAGCAGTTTGAGCAGAGATGGAGGGACGGAGAGGAAGAGAGGAAGAGGAGGGAAGTTGAAGAGAAAGAGCAGAGGGGGATGTGTAGGAGATGTGGTTGTGCTGGAGACACTGAGGAGAGAGAAGAGGCTCTGTCAGGTGAGTGAGGAGAGATGCACGAACACACACACACACACATACCTGATATAGGATCTATAACTTTGCTCTGTCCTCAGCAGCAGAGGAAGGATGGGTTATCAAACAGGAGATGTTCCAGCCAAGTGGACCCAGCGCTCTCCCAGAGAGAGAGGGTCCACAGGAATTGGCCAATCCCAGCTCTTCCTGTGTCTCTGAAAGGATAGAAGAGAGCGAGGCCCATGTGGTCCATATCAAAGAGGAGCCAGAAGACTCAGGGGACTTGGTTACCCAGATGATCACATCCACAGATTCCCCCATAATGAGCCTGAGTCGTCTGCAGAGATTGAGCTCAAACGCTGGGGCATGGGCCAGTGAGCCTCCACCTCTACTCCCAGCACCATGGGCTAGTGAGCCTCTTCCTCCAGCACTATGGGCCAGGGAGCCGCTACCTATACCTCCAGCACCATGGACCAGGAAGGAGCAGCACCTACTCTCAAGGTCAGTGATACCCACCCAGGGGACAGAGCGTGCTGCGGGGGCACTCGAGACCAGCCCCTACGGCCTGAACATCAACACAACGGCACAGCTGATGGTCAAACCTTACAGCTGCCCACACTGTGGGAAGAGCTTCCCTCAGCTCCGAAACCTGAAAGACCACCAGAAGTACCACCACACAGGGAAGAAGGCCTTCACCTGCTCCCAGTGTTTTAAGGGCTTTGTGTACATGTGCCACCTCAGGGTACACATGCAGTGCCACATGGGGAGAGGCCGTTCAGCTGCTCTCAGTGTGGGAAGAGCTTCAGCCTTCAGAGCAGCTTGAAGAGACACAGGATCATTCACACTGCAGAGAGCCCTTACCACTGCACGGACTGTGGGAACAGATTCAATTCTAGAGCAGACCTGAAAACACATGAACAGATTCATACAGCAAGGTAGTCACTTTGTTGCTTTTTGTGCTATTGCTCTGTCTGCGTGCTGCTTGTCCTATGTTGCTCTGTATGTGCTCACTGCACATTCTTTGTCTGTATTGTTATTGTTTTTAATAACCTGCCCTGGGACTGCGGTTGAAAATTAGCCTGCTAGCTAAAACCGGACACTTTTACTGAAACATTGATTAATTTGCACTGACCCTGTAAAAATAAACTCAAACTCAAGGTAGATATTTGAGATGGGTGACAGGTAGCATAGCGGTTAAGAGCGTTGGGCCAGTATCCGGAAGGTTGCTGGTTCTAATCCCCAAGCCGACTTGGGTGAAAAATATGTCTGTGGCCTTGAGCAAGACACTTAACCCTAATTGCTCTGGATAAGAGTCTACTAAAATGTAAAAATGAGATGGAGCGGGTTCATTTTGAAAATCAAAGGGGGAAAACAACTGCCCACGTGTACTATGTTCAATGTATTGTTGCTGATGAATTTTATGTTGAGAGGAATAAAAGTATTTATGAAGAAATTATTCTCATCCTTTCATAAATGGTTGGTCAAAAGGTGTTATTAACTGTGACATACACACACAGATATCTTAAAAGTAAAGTAGTAATAAGTAAGTAGCCATGTCAGAACCACAACGGCCCATAGAGTAACAGATATCTTCCTCTGGAAAATAAATACATTTGACAGCGATTCCCACGTCAAAGAAAAAGATTGATGAGTTCTGCGCAATCGCAGTATTATCACCAAGATGTCACAGACCAAAGGGGCGGGACCCAACCGCTACAGTCTATTGTCGTCACTAGTTACCACAGACACAAAGTATTAAACCCCGCATGTTTTCAATTTCTCTTATTAAAATGTGATTTTGGACCTAACTTTAACCACACCGCTAACCTTATGCGTAACCCTACCCCTAATCTTAAATTAAGACCAAAAAGCATTTTTTTAATTTAATGAATTCTTGCGATATAGACAATTCTGACTTTGTGGCTGTGTTACCTAGTGGAAACCCCAGTCTAGCTAGTAGCTGTTAGCTAGCTTTTTACAGTAGCTAGCTACCTGTCGCTGTTACCTCCGTGTACAGTTATAGTAGATATAAAATGTTTGTAGCTAGTTGATTTGTTGATGCACAACAAAAAACAACGTTTGGGGAATTGGTAAGAATATTTGCTGAAAGGTCAGAAAGCTGCTACTACCCTGTGCGATTGTATGTAGCTAAAGTTAGCTTAGCTCGCAAGCAGGCTAGAGAAACTAATTTGATACGTCTAACCACAGTCAAAAAGTGGTGTAGATAAGGGTTAGGGTTTATTCATTTGTTCGTTACAAGCATGTTGCTGGGCTAAATCATTGGTAGGTGCGCTGGCAATATATTTGAGGCACAACCAAGACCACATTTGGTGTATTTGACTGCTTGCCCCTGTTTCCAGGAGGAAAATCCCTGACTCTCTGGGCACTGGTGTGATCTGGAGGAGGCTAAATCCCAGTCTTTCCATTATAGTAAACCAAACTGGGAAACAAGGGGGGCAGCTCATCCATAGAAGACTGGCAGTGAACTCTGGGACTGGTACTAATAAGGGAAGGGGGGGGTGATTCTCCAGTGTTGAGTTGATGTTGTTGCAGCTATGTCAGAAGCCATCCTCACCTTCCAGTACCAGCTCAATGGAGTCATGGAAACGGTCCTCAAAACCGCCATGCATGAGATCACTCGGCTGGTGAAGGACAGCTTCCTGGAGGAAGTGACACGGAGCAAGCAGGAAGTGAACGTCTTGAAGGAGAGGCTGCAGCAGTGTGAGCAGAGGTGGAGGGACGGAGAGGAGGAGAGGAAGAGGAGGGAAGTTGAAGAGAAAGAGCAGAGAAAGAAGAGGGAAGAGAGAGAGCAGAGGGGGATGTGTAGGAGATGTGGTTGTGCTGGAGACACTGAGGAGAGAGAAGAGGCTCTGTCAGGTGAGTGAGGTGAGATGCGCACACACACACAAACAATATAGGATCTATAACTTTGTTCTGTTCCATTCTCAGGAGCAGAGGAAGGTTGTGTTATCAAACAGGAGATCTTCCAGCCAGGTGGACCCAGCGATCTCCCAGAAAGAGAGGGTCCACAGGAAACGGCCACACCCAGCTCTTCCTGTGTCTCTGAAAGGATGGAAGAGAGGAAAGCCCATGTGGTCCATATCAAAGAGGAGCCCGATGACGGGCGGGACTTGGTTACCCAGATGATCACATCCACAGATTCCCCCATAATGAGCCGGAGTCATCTGCAGAGATTGAGCTCACATCCTGTGGGATGGACCAGTGAGCCTCTTGCTCCAGCACCACAACCATGGACCATGGAGCCTCCTCCTCCAGCACCATTGGCCAGGGAGCCTCCAGCTCTACCTCCAGCACCATGGTACAGGAAGGAGCAGCACCTACTCCCAAGCTCAGTGATACGCACCCAGGGGACAGAGTATACTGTGGGGGCCCTCGAGACCAGCCCCTACAGCCTGAGCATCAACACAACGGCACAGCTGAGGGTCAAACCTTACAGCTGCCCACACTGTGGGAAGAGCTTCCCTCAGCTCCGAAATCTCAAACACCACCAGAAGTACCACCACACAGGGAAGAAGGCCTTCACCTGCTCCCAGTGCGATAAGGGTTTTGTGTACATGTCCCACTTCAGGGTACACATGCAGCGCCACACGGGGGACAGGCCGTTCAGCTGCTCTCAGTGCGGGAAAAGCTTCAGCCTTCAGAGTGGCTTGAAGAAACACAGGGTCATTCACACTGCAGAGATGCCCTACCACTGCACGGGATGTGGGAACAGATTCAATTCTAGAGCGGACCTGAAAAGACATGAACAGATTCATGCAGCAAGGTAGACCTTTGAGAAGAAGCAGGTTGATTTAGAAAATCAGAGGGGGGAAATAACTGCCCACGTGTACTATGTTCAATGGATCTATAGTTGTTGATGCATTTCATGTTGAGAGGAATAAAACTATTCATGAATAAATTATTCTCATCCTTTCTTAATAAATGATTGGTCACACAGTGTTATTTATTCGTTACATACACACACAGATATCTTAAAAGTGAAAGAGTAATAAGCAAGTAGCCTTGTCTGAGTCCGAACGGCCCATAGAGTAACTTACTCTGGCAAATAAATATATTTGGAACTGCGCTTTAGACCGATTCTAACATCAAAGGAAAATAATGACCAGATCTGCGCAATCGCATTGGCAGTATGATCACCTCGATGTCACAGATCAGTGGGGGCGGGACCCATCCTCTACTGTCTAGTTAGGTATTAGTTTAGCTCTAATGGATAATATGTGCTATGATGTACAGTAGTGTTGGGGAAACGAAGCTTCCTGAAGCATTGAGCATTTCCAGCTAATTGTGTCGAAAATAGGTAAATTACTCGAGGCTTTGATCAACACGTACACTCGTGGCACCTGCTGGTCAAAATAATTTAGAATAGCCAAATTATTATAGTTGACGTCAGGGTAGCCACAAATAAAATATTTGGGATCACTTTTTTGTCTTCCACCGAAACCAATGGCAAAGCAATCGGGGTTGTTCCACAAAACGAAGATTCGGACGTCATTGATCACGTGCTTCTGATAAAGCCATACAAGCATCCGTACACTGCTTCGAAATAAACTGCTTAGCGATTTGTACGCATGCCTCGGATTTCCGGTTTTAAACGCGACATCACTAATATACAGTAGCTACCTGTCTCTTTTACCTCTTTATATAGTTCTAGGAGAGATGGGTAGGATGTTTGTAACTAGTTGATTTGTTGACCCACAACAAAAAACAACGTTCGAAAAGTGGTAAGCATATTTTTATTTGTGTCAAATGGTCAGAAAGCTGCTACACAACCCTGTGTTATTAGCTTAGTTAGCTAGGTGCTTTTAGAAACGCGGGTGTATTTACACACTAGCGTTGCTTTCTATTGTATTGGGTTGCACAAAAACAGTCCCGTGGGAAACCAGGAATTAAATACAATTCAATTTCACCTTACTGTGCAGGTGGGCAGGACGGTTAGTCATTATGGCGGGGGAATTTGAGACATATCTAAAGGATCTTATTATTAAACAGTGTAAGTAAATACACATGCGTTGCTAAAAGCACCTACTAGCTAGCAAGCTTGAGAAATGTGTTGTTTGGTTTACCTAACCACAGCCAAAAGTGGTGTAAGTAAGGGTTTATTAATTTGTTCGTTACATGCACGTTTCAGGGCTAAATCATTGATAGGTGAACCTTATATTACTGACAAGATAATAGAATCACATCAAGACCACATTTGGTGTATTTGACAGCTTGCCCCTGTTTCCAGGAGGAAGATCCCTGTCTCGGCACTGGTGTGATCTGGAGGAGGCTAAATCAGTCTTTCCATTATAGTGAACCAAACTGGGAAACGAGGGGCAGCTCATCCATAGAAGACTGGCTGTGAACTCTGGGACTGGTACCGATAAGGGAAGGGGGGTTGATTTTCCAGTGTTGAGTTGATGTCCAGTGTTTCCAGTGTTCAGCTATGTCAGAAGCCATCCTCACCTTCCAGTACCAACTCAATGGAGTAATGGAAATGGTCCTCAAAACCGCCGTGCATGAGATCACTCGGCTGGTGAAGGACAGCTTCCTGGAGGAAGTGACACGGAGCAAGCAGGAAGTGGGCGTCTTTAAGGAGAGGCTGCAGCAGTGTGAGCAGAGATGGAGGGACGGAGAGGAAGAGAGGAAGAGGAGGGAAGATGAAGAGAAAGAGCAGAGAAAGAAGATGGAAGAGAGAGAGCAGAGGGGGATGTGTAGGAGATGTGGTTGTGCTGGAGACACTGAGGAGAGAGAAGAGGCTCTGTTAGGTGAGTGAGGAGAGATATACACTACCATTCAAAAGTTTGGGGTCACTTAGAAATTTCCTCGTTTTCGAAAGAAAATCATTTTTTTTGTCCATTAAAATAACATCAAATTGATCAGAAATACAGTGTAGACATTGTAAATGTCTATTGTAGCTGGAAACGGCTGATTTTTTTTTTTTAATCGAATATCTACGTAGGTGTACAGAGGCCCATTAACAGAAACCATCAGTTCTGTGTTCCAATGGCACGTTGTGTTTGCTAATCCAAGTTTATCATTTGAAAAGGCTAATTGCTCATTAGAAAACCCTATTGCAATTATGTTAGCACAGCTGAAAACTGTTGTGCTATAGAAGCAATAAAACTGGCCTTCTTGAGACTAGTTGAGTATCTGGAGCATCAGCAATTGGGGGTTCGATTACAGGATCAAAATGGCCAGAAACAAATAACTTTCTTCTGAAACTCGTCAGTCTATTCTTGTTCTGAGAAAAAATGGCTATTCCATGCGAGAAACTGAAGATCTCGTACAACGCTGTGTACTACTCCCTTCAAAGAACAGCGCAAACTGTCTCTAACCAGAATAGAAAGAGGAGTGCGAGGCCACGGTGCACAACTGAGCAAAAGGACATATACATTAGTGTCTAGTTTGAGAAACAGACGCCTCACAGGTCCTCAACTGGCAGCTTCATTAAATAGTACCCGCAAAACTGGTAAAAATGGCTTTTCCTTTGCAACTCTGCCTAGGTCAGCATCCCGGAGTCGCCTCTTCACTGTTGACGTTGAGACTTGTGTTTTGCGGGTACTATTTAATGAAGCTGCCAGTTGAGGACCTGTGAGGCGTCTGTTTCTCAAACTAGACACTAATGTATATGTCATTTTGCTCAGTTGTGCACCGTGGCCTCACACTCCTCTTTCTATTCTGGTTAGAGCCAGTTTGCACTGTTCTGTGAAGGGAGTAGTACACAGCGTTGTACAAGATCTTCAGTTTCTTGGCAATTTCTCACATGAAATAGCCTTCATTTCTCAGAACAAGAATAGACTTACAAGTTTCAGAAGAAAGTTATTTGTTTCTGGCCATTTTGATCCTGTAATCGAACCCACAATTGCTGATGCTCCAGATACTCAACTAGTCACAAGAAGGCCAGTTTTATTGCTTCTTTAATCAGCACAACAGTTTTCAGCTGTGCTAACATAATTGCAAAAGGGTTTTCTAATGATCAATTAGCCTTTTAAAATGATAAACTTGGATTGGCAAACAAAATGTGCCATTGGAACACAGGACTGATGGTTGCTGATAATGGACCTCTGTACGCCTATGTAGATATTCCATTAAATATCAGCCATTTCCAGCTACAATAGCCATTTACAACATTAACTATGTCTACACTGTATTTCTGGTGTAGCTCAGTTGGTAGAGCATGGTGTTTGCAACGCCAGGGTTGTGGGTTTGATTCCCACAGGGGGCCAGTATGGAAAAAATAAAAATGTATGCACTCACTAACTGTAAGTCGCTCTGGATAAGAGCGTCTGCTAAATGACTAAAATGTAAATGTGACCCCAAACTTTTGAACGGTAGTGTGTGTGTGTATATGTGTATGTATATATATATATATATATATATATACACACACAGTGAGGGGAAAAAAGTATTTGATCCCCTGTTGATTTTGTTTGTTTGCTCACTGACAAAGAAATGATCAGTCTATAATTTTAATGGTAGGTTTATTTGAACAGTGAGAGACAGAATAACAACAAAAAAATCCAGAAAAACGCATGTCAAAAATGTTATAAATTGATTTGCATTTTAATGAGGGAAATAAGTATTTGACCCCTCTGCAAAATATGACTTAGTACTTGGTGGCAAAACCCTTGTTGGCAATCACAGAGGTCAGATGTTTCTTGTAGTTACATTTACATTACATAGTTGGCCACCAGGTTTGCACACATCTCAGGAGGGATTTTGTTCCACTCCTCTTTGCAGATCTTCTCCAAGTCATTAAGGTTTCGATGCTGATGTTTGGCAACTTGAACCTTCAACTCCCTCCACAGATTTTCTATGGGATTAAGGTCTGGAGACTGGCTAGGCCACTCCAGGACCTTAATGTGCTTCTTCTTGAGCCATTCCTTTGTTGCCTTGGCCGTGTGTTTTGGGTCATTGTCATGCTGGAATACCCATCCACGACCCATTTTCAATGCCCTGGCTGAGGGAAAGAGGTTCTCACCCAAGATTTGACGGTACATGGCCCCGTCCATCGTCCCTTTGATGCGGTGAATCTGTCCTGTCCCCTTAGCAGAAAAACACCCCCAAAGCATAATGTTTCCACCTCCATGTTTGACGGTGGGGATGGTGTTCTTGGGGTCATAGGCAGCATTCCTCCTCCTCCAAACACGGCGAGTTGAGTTGATGCCAAAGAGCTCCATTTTGGTCTCATCTGACCACAACACTTTCACCCAGTTCTCCTCTGAATCATTCAGATGTTCATTGGCAAACTTCAGATGGGCATTTATATGTGCTTTCTTGAATGGGGGGACCTTGCGGGCGCTGCAGGATTTCAGTCCTTCACGGCGTAGTGTGTTACCAATTGTTTTCTTGGTGACTATGGTCCCAGCTGCCTTGAGATCATTGACAAGATCCTCCCGTGTAGTTCTGGGCTGATTCCTCACCGTTCTCATGATCATTGCAACTCCACGAGGTGAGATCTTGCATGGAGCCCCAGGCCGAGGGAGATTGACAGTTATTTTGTGTTTCTTCCATTTGTGAATAATCGCACCAACTGTTGTCACCTTCCACCAAGCTGCTTGGCGATGGTCTTGTAGCCCATTCCAGCCTTGTGTAGGTCTACAATCTTGTCCCTGACATCCTTGGAGAGCTCTTTGGTCTTGGCCATGGTGGAGAGTTTGGAATCTGATTGATTGCTTCTGTGGACAGGTGTCTTATACAGGTAACAAACTGAGATTAGGAGCACTCCCTTTAAGAATGTGCTCCTAATCTCAGCTCGTTACCTGTATAAAAGACACCTGGGAGCCAGAAATCTTTATGATTGAGAGGGGGTCAAATACTTATTTCCCTCATTAAAATGCAAATCAATTGATAACATTTTTGACATGCGTTTTTCTGGATTTTGTTGTTGTTATTCTGTCTCACATTGTTCAAATAAACCTACCATTAAAATTATAGACTGATCATTTCTTCATCAGTGAGCAAATGTACAAAATCAGCAGGGGATCAAATACTTTTTTCCCTCACTGTGTGTGTATGTATGTATATATATATATATATATATATATATATATATATATATATATATACATATATATATACACACACACACACACACACACCTGATATAGGATCTAAAACTTTGTTCTGTTCCATCCTCAGGAGAAGAGGAAGGTTGTGTTATCAAACAGGAGATGTTCCAGCCAGGTGGACCCAGTGCTTTCCCAAAGAGAGAGGGTCCACAGGAAACGGCCATACCAAGCTCTTCCTGTGTCTCTGAAAGGATGGAAGAGAGGAAGGCCCATGTGGTCCATATCAAAGAGGAGTCCGATGACTGGGGGGACTTGGTTACCCAGATGATCGCATCCACAGATTACCCCATAATGAGCTTGAGTCGTCTGCAGAGATTGAGCTCACATCCTGGGGGATGGGCCAGGGAGCCTCTTGCTCCAGCACCATCACCATGGACCAGTGAGCCTCTTCCTCCAGCACTATGGGCCAGGGAGCCTTTACCTCCAGCACCATTGGCCAGAAAGCCTCCACCTCTACCTCCAGCACCATTGGCCAGGGAGCCTCCCCCTCTACCTCCCGCACCATTGACCAGGAAGTTGCGGCACCTACTCCCAAGGTCAGTGATACCCACCCAGGGGACAGAGCATGCTTTGGGGGCCGTCGAGACCAGCCCCTCCGGCCTGTGTATCAACACAATGGCAGAGCTGAGGGTCAAACCCTACAGCTGCTCACACTGTGGGAAGAGCTTCCCTCAGCTCCGAAATCTCAAACACCACCAGAAGTACCACCACACAGGGAAGAAGGCCTTCACCTGCTCCCAGTGCGGTATGGGCTTTGTGTACATGTCCCACTTCAGGGTACACATGCAGCGCCACACGGGGGAGAGGCCGTTCAGCTGTTCTCAGTGTGGGAAGAGCTTCAACCTTCAGAGTGGCTTGATGAAACACAGGGTCCTTCACACTTTAGAGAGAGACTTTACCACTGCAACGACTGTGGGAACAGATTCTATTCTAGAGCAGACCTGAAAAGACATGAACAGATTAATGCAGCAAGGTACACCTTTGAGATGAAGCAGGTTGATTTAGGAAATCAGAGGGGGGAAATAACTGCCAACGTGTACTATGTTCAATGTATCAATAGTTGCTGATGCATTTGATGTTGAGAGGAATAAAACTCTATATGAATAAATTATTCTCGTCCTTTCTTAATAAATGATTGGTCACACAGTGTTATTTATTTGTTACATACACACACATATATCTTAAAAGTGAAAGAGTAATAAGCAAGTAGCCTTGTCTGAGCCCGAACAGCCCATAGAGTAACTGTTGTGGAAAATAAACACTATACTTTATTACAAATAAGGTCTTACAGAGTTTTTGTTGCATCAAGAAATTACTTTATTAAAGTTTTCAACAAAGCCGATACCTGTCTGCAGAATGGCCCCCCCTTACAGTCTCCCTCCATTCTATATAGTCCTCTTCAGTTTTCCCGCTCTTTTATTGCTCCGCCCACTTCCTTTAGCCACTCTCAGAGACAAACTCAACTTTCATTAAGTTCAGAGTACTACAATCAATCAATCCTTATCTTGCAAAAACACTCATGTTTAGTTTAAACTCTGTTCAACCCTGGCTCTTTTCACTGTGTTTGAAGACAAAAACAAACGGCCCAATTCAGTTAGCCACAAAGAATGTTAACTATATGTTCATGATTAACTCAATTTTATCTGATAATCCATTAAAAATACACAATTTACTCTGGCAAATAAATACATTTGGAACTGTGCTTTGCTAACATCAAAGAAGATATGTACCAGATCTGCGCAGTCGCATTGGCAGTATGATTTCCTCGATTTCACAGATCAGGGGGCGGGACCCAACCAGTCCAGTTAGTTAGCTATTAGTTTAGCTATTATGGATCATCTGTGCTATAATATACAGTAGTGATGGGGAAACGAAGCTTGAAGCATTGAGCATTTCCAGCCAATTGTTTCGAAAATAGGTTAATTACTCGAGGCTTTGATCAACAGGTTGTACACTAGTGGCACCTGCTGGTCAAAATAATTTATAATAGCCGAATTATTACAGTAGCCATAGATAAATCTTTGGGGTGGCCTTTTTGTCTTTTAAAGAAACCAAGAGCAAACCAATCAGGTGGTTGTTCGACCACACGAAGATTCGGACGTCATTGATAACGTGCTTCTGATAAAGGGATACAAACATCGGCACACTGCTTCGACGTAAACTTTTTTTTCTTCTTTTTTAAAATTGTATTTATATATATATATATATTTTTTATATATATTTTAATATATTTATTACATCACACGAATATTGTACAAAACCAAACAATATACAAATATCACACAACAAAAAATTGGACAAATAGACAGTTCTTTGACAAATTGCTATTTATACCATTCAGGGATGTTAAATAATACGCTAAATCAATTAGAAAAAAATTTGTAAAAAAATTTTGGACCCCTGAACTTCATTTTATGGATCAAACATTTTCCCAATAAAATTAACTAATTCACAATGTATTGGCAGTCACTGTGCATGTATGTAAAATAAAAAATAACATCACATTTGGTAATGCTTACAGGTTGACCCATCTTATAACTAATGTGTATTTTCATATCTGTCCAAAATATTTCGCTATGCAAACAATCACAAAATAAAAGCTCTAGTCTCATTTTTTAATTCACAAAAGCTACACTTATTTTCTACATTAATTACATATTTATAAATAAGACTATTACAAGGATAATATCTGTGAAGGATATTGTAAGAGACTACTCTTACTTTATTAGTTATCAAATATTTATGTGGATTATGTGAAATGGGAACAACTGGAAACTCGAAAATTACGAGGTGAAGAAATCATGACGTCTGTGATCTTCATGTCGGAAAAGTCAGGAGTTCTAGAAAGAGGACGGAGTTGGAATTCCGAGTTAGATGACGGTTGAAATCGGAGCTCGTTTTTTTCCCGAGTTGATGTGAACGCACTGAAGTCGGAGATTTCCGAGTTCCCAGTTGTTTTGAACGCGGCAAACGATGCCAAACACATTTTTTTATATGTATGTATTTGTATTTATTTAAATCGTTAAAAAAATATATCTGACTTTTTAAAATGTATTAAACAGTAACATGTAAAACACAAACAGAACAGCCAGAGGGATTACACAAATAAATTAGGAAGAGAGAAATAATAATAATAATAATAATAATAATAATAATAATAATACAAATCCACATTATATCAAATCAGATACAGACATGTAACGAATATATTTTTTTTAATGTTGTTTTGTATACGTTTTAATGATTCTAAATAGTTTTCCAAATCTTCTTTTTTTATATATATATAAAAATGGGCTTTTTCTTCAAAAATATTTATTTGTGTATGAAACATTTTCCTAATAAAATAAAGAGATTTATGACATATTGACGTTCAATTGTGTTATCAGTGTAGTAACATATTTCAATGGTTGTATGCATTTTGTTGCCAAGATATAGTTATATATCAGTCCACAACACCTCACTATGTAAACAATTACAAAATAAGTGTTCAATAGATTCAGTTTCACTAGTAACATCAGGTATATATTTAGAAATCAGGCTATTACACGGGTAGAATCTATGGCTTCGAAGTAAACTGATTAGCGATTTTTACGCAAGCCTCGGAGTTCCGGTATCAAACGTGACATCACTAATGTACTGTAGCTACCTGTCTCTTTTACCTCTGTTTACAGTTCTAGGAAAGTTAGCAAGGATGTTTGTAACTAGTTGATTTGTTGACGCACAACAAAAAACAACGTTTGGAAAGTGGTAAGCATATTTTTATTTGAGTGAAATAGTCAGAAAGCTGCTACGCAACCCTGTTATTATCTGTAGCTTAGCTAGCTAGGTGCTTTTAGCAACGCGGGTGTATTTACACTTTAGCGTTGCTTTCTATTGTATTGGTTTGCACAAAAACTGTCCGTGGGAAGCCAGGATTTAAGTACCATTCCATTTCAATTTACTGTGCAGGGCAGGATGGTTAGTCATTATTGCGGGGGAATTTGAGACATATCTAAAGGATCGTATTATTAAATAGACTTCCCAAACGTGGGTGAAACTCAGCTTCACCTTCTTCTTCTTCTTCTTCATCATCTTCTTCTTCAGTGGGGTGGTTGGCATCCAACGTTATGGTGCATTACCGCCACCTACTGTACTGGAGTGTGGGCCAGAGACGGGGAGAAACTAAATCCTACCTTCCAACCCCGTTTCTCTTAAAAAATATAATAAAATATTTTAGATTATATCTAATTACGTTCTACTCAATATACTCTTTAAAGTAATTTCCTGTATCCCCTTCTCCCTCATACTAGATATCATCCTCTCTCTTTCCCTCTGATACTGCCCACACTGTAGCAATACATCCTCCACGGTCTCTATTTCCTGACAATAATCACACTTTCCTGATGGTTGCTTTCCTATCACATGTAATGTCTTATTCAACTGGCTGTGTCCCACCCTTAATCTTGTAAAAATAGCCTCCTCTCTTCTGTCCCTTCCTGCCGTCCTCCCTCCCCGACTTTCCTCTGTACTTGAAATAAAAGCCTTCCCTTATTATCTCTATTCCACTGCTCCTGCCATCTCTGCACCATCACTGTATATATCAGTCTTTTTGACCCTGCCTTGCTCATTGAAACTTCAACATCAACATCCCCACTACTAAGTGCTTGTTTAGCCTGTTCATCTACTGCCTCGTTCCCCTCCACCCCCACATGGGCTGGGACCCAAGTAAATCTTATCTGAATACCCATCTGTTTAATCCTGCCATGGGTTTGTAGCTCCTCATAAAGCAGGTCTTGTCAGCTACGTGAGCTAAAGGACTGGAGACTCATTAACACTGCACATGAATCAGAGCAAATAACTACTCTGTCTTATTTGACTTCCTCCACCCACTGCAGGGCCAACAGTATGGCCATCAGCTCTGCCGTATATACAGCCAGATGATCTGTAATACATTTCCTGACTTCCACCCCACATTCCTGCACTACAAATGCTGACCCAGTACGTCCTGTCCTTGGATCCTTTTGAACCATCTGTGTAAATGGCCACAAAATCATGATACACAGTTTCCAGACGTCTCTTAAAGAAATCAGCTGGATCAACACCCTCCCTATCTTTCTGTAGTCTCTCCAACACTTCTTGATCAACTACTGGAGGCGGGAGTAGCCATGGTGGATTTACAGGAATAACTACAGTTGGACTAAACTCCCTTCCATACAGTCCCATCTCCTTCGCCTGGGTATTACTCACCCACCCAAAGCTTGTGTTCTGTCTTCGCTCATGTTCCCAGCATGCCTGTAAAATCCCTTTCGCAAGATGAGACACCCCATGTCCTTGTAGGTTGACCCAATAATTAATTGCCAGCTGCTGCCTCCTAATCTGCAATGGCATATCCCCCATCTCCACCTGTAATGCAGCCACTGGGGACGTCTGAAATGCCCCACTACATATTCGGAGTCCTTGCCCCTGTATGACATCTAGCCTTTCCAGTGAGGTCCGGGCTGCCGAACCATATGCTATACTTCCATAGTCTATTACAGATCGGATCAATGCAACATACATGGTCTTCAATGAGGAATGCCCAGTCCCCCACTCCTTCCCCGTCAGACAGCGCATCACATTTAGCACCAAGTTTCTCCCATATAACCTCAAGCATACCTCATCTCCCACCTTCCTCCTAGTAAAGAACACTGTTTGAGTTTTCTCTACAGAGAACCTGAATCCCCACATTAATGCCCACCGCTCTACCTCATAAATTGCTTCCTGTACCTTCCTGACTACGTATGGCACATTTCTTCCCCTCTTCCATAAGGCCCCATCATCTGCAAATAATGACCTCCCTATACCCGGCTGTACCTGAGAGTTAACATCATTGATCATGATTGAGAACAACAGAGGACTAATCACGCTCCCCTGTGGTGTACCGTTATCCACCAAGTAGCTGCCTGAAAAAGACTTCCCCACCCTCACCTGGATAGACCTTCCAAACAGGAAATCCTTTATCCAGTTGTACGTTCTTCCTCCTACCCCCATAATATCAAGCTTGATTAACAACCCCTCCTTCCACATCATATCATACGCCTTCTCCACATCAAAAAAGACAGCTACAACAGTCTCCTTGTTCACCTGAGCCTTCCTGACCTCTGCTTCTTAGCACTGGATCCATAGTTCCCCTACCCTTCCTGAACCGACTCTGATGTGGTGATACTAGCCCTCTGCTCTCCAGGAAGTCTCTGTTTAACCTTACCTCATGTCAAAATAAAATGCCTCCACAAGTTATTCATTTTTTGTCCACATATGTCGCACGTGCAGGACTTTTATTTTGACATGAGGTAAGCAGGGAGGGAGTGGGTCTACAACAGACCCACGTTTGGAAAGTCTGTTTATCACTGCAAGGACTGTGGGAACAGATTCTATTCTAGAGCGGACCTGAAAAGACATGAACAAATCCAGTGCAAGGTAGACCTTTGAGATGGAGCAGGTTAATTTGGAGAATTAGAGGGGGGAAATAATTGCCCACGTGTGCTATGTTCAATGTATTGTTGCTGATGCATTTAATGTTGAAAGGAATAAAACACATTATGAATAAATTATTCTCATCATTTCTTACTAAATTATTGGTCACACAGTGTTAACTGTTACATACACAAACAAATATCTTAAGTAAAATAGTAGTAAGTAAGTGGCCTTGTCCGAATGAAAATGGCCCATAGAGTAACATAACTTACTCTGGAAATAAATACATGTGACAGAGATTCCAACGTTGAAGAAAAATATTTACGAGTTCTGCGCAGTCGCATTTGCAGTATGATCACCTTGATGTCACAGACCAGAGGGACGGGACCCAACCTCTCCAGTCTAGCCAAAGACAGAAGGGGTAACCCAGACAAGTCACAGGGTCTATAAAGCTGAAGCATCCGTTTGGAACGTTTTTTCACCACCAAATATGGTAGTGAGAGGAAGTCCAGTTGCGGGTAGTGGGAGATGATGGAACTAGGTGAAACTGGGCCGACTTTCTGCTAATTTTCTCATCAATGAAACATCTGATCTCAATACATTCTTATTTTCCCAAAATTATAATCTGTTACGAACACAGTGCACTAGGTTATATATACTTGACGCTTTGCCAACGTTTGAAAATATTGCGGTTGTTTAGGAGTGCAAGGTCGAATTGAGTTTGTGCACACGCGCACTTCACAGAGGAGGGGTTACCTAACGGAAATATGCAAATAATGCTACAACGTGCCAATAGGATCTCGCTAGCTCGTGCTTGGCTTTGCCCACTCCTTGCTTGTTCTGCCTACTATGCTTAATTTGCTCCCACTGTAAACGACACAGATGAACCATCTTGGTCTAGCCGTCTATCTAGTAACTGTTATCTTATTACAATAGCTAGCTAGCTAGCTGTCTTTGATACGTATGTGTATAGTTCTAGGAGAGATAGGATATTTGTAACTAGTTGATATGTTGACGAACAACAAAAAACAACGTTTGGGAAGTGGTAAGAATATTTTGTGAAATGGACAGAGCTGCTACTAACCTGTGTTATTATCTGTAGCAAAAGCTAGCTAGCTAACTAGGAAGCTTGATAAATGCGTTTTTTTGGAACACCTAACCACAAGTAAAAAGTGGTGCAAGGGTTTATGAATTTGTTAGTTACGAGCATGTTGCTGGGCTAAATCACTGGTAGGATGGATGCCTAATACTGACATGATATTTGAGGCACATTCAGACCACATTTGGTGTATTTGACAGCTTGCCGCTGTTTCCAGGAGGAAGATCCCTGACTCTGGGCACTGGTGTGATCTGGAGGAGGTTAAATCAGTCTTTCCATTATAGTGAACCAAACTGGGAAACAAGGGGGGCAGATCATCCATAGAAGACTGGCTGTAAACTCTGGGACTGGTACCAATAAGGGAAGGGGGGGGGTTGATTTTCCAGTGTTGTTCCAGTTGATGTTGTTGCAGCTATGTCAGAAGCCATCCTCACCTTCCAGTACCAACTCAATGGAGTCATGGAAACGGTCCTCAAAACTGCCCTGCATGAGATCACTCGGCTGGTGAATGACAACTTCCTGGAGGGAGTGACACAGCGCAAGCAGGAAGTGGACGTCTTAAAGGAGAGGCTGCAGCAGTGTGAGCAGAGATGGAGGGACAGAGAGGAGGAGAGGAAGAAGAGGGAAGTTGAAGAGAAAGAGCAGAGAAAGAAGATGGAAGAGAGAGAGCAGAGGGGGATGTGTAGGAGATGTGGTTGTGCTGGAGACACTGAGGAGAGAGAAGAGGCTCTGTTAGGTGAGTGAGGAGAGATGCACTGCTCAAAAAAAGGGAACACTTAAACAACACATCCTAGATCTGAATGAATGAAATAATCTTATTAAATACTTTTTTCTTTACATAGTTGAATGTGCTGACAACAAAATCACACAAAAATTATCAATGGAAATCAAATTTATCAACCCATGGAGGTCTGGATTTGGAGTCACCCTCAAAATTAAATTGGAAAACCACACTACAGGCTGATCCAACTTTGATGTAATGTCCTTAAAACAAGTCAAAATTAGGCTCAGTAATGTATGTGGCCTCCACTTGCCTGTATGACCTCCCTACAACGCCTGGGCATGCTCCTGATGAGGTGGCGGATGGTCTCCTGAGGGATCTCCTCCCAGACCTGGACTAAAGCATCCGCCAACTCCTGGACAGTCTGTGGTGCAACGCGGCGTTGGTGGATGAGCGAGACATGATGTCCCAGATGTGCTCAATTGGATTCAGGTCTGGGGAACGGGCGGGCCAGTCCATAGCATGAATGCCTTCCTCTTGCAGGAACTGCTGACACACTCCAGCCACATGAGGTCTAGCATTGTCTTGCATTAGGAGGAACCCAGGGCCAACCGCACCAGCATATGGTCTCACAAGGGGTCTGAGGATCTCATCTCGGTACCTAATGGCAGTCAGGCTACCTCTGGCGAGCACATGGAGGGCTGTGCGGCCCCCCAAAGAAATGCCACCCCACACCATGACTGACCCACCGCCAAACCGGTCATGCTGGAGGATGTTGCAGGCAGCAGAACGTTGTCCACGGCGTCTCCAGACTCTGTCACGTCTGTCACATGTGCTCAGTGTGAACCTGCTTTCATCTGTGAAGAGCACAGGGCGCCAGTAGCGAATTTGCCAATCTTGGTGTTCTCTGGCAAATGCCAAACGTCCTGCACGGTGTGGGGCTGTAAGCACAACCCCCACCTGTGGACGTCGGGCCCTCATACCACCCTCATGGAGTCTGTTTCTGACCGTTTGAGCAGACACATGCACATTTGTGGCCTGCTGGAGGTCATTTTGCAGGGCTCTGGCAGTGCTCCTCCTGCTCCTCCTTGCACAAAGGCGGAGGTAGCGGTCCTGCTGCTGGGTTGTTGCCCTCCTACGGCCTCCTCCACGTCTCCTGATGTACTGGCCTGTCTCCTGGTAGCGCCTCCATGCTCTGGACACTACGCTGACAGACACAGCAAACCTTCTTGCCACAGCTCGCATTGATGTGCCATCCTGGATGAGCTGCACTACCTGAGCCACTTGTGTGGGTTGTAGACTCCGTCTCATGCTACCACTAGAGTGAAAGCACCGCCAGCATTCAAAAGTGACCAAAACATCAGCCAGGAAGCATAGGAACTGAGAAGTGGTCTGTGGTCACCACCTGAAGAACCACTTCTTTATTGGGGGTGTCTTGCTAATTGCCTATAATTTCCACCTGTTGTCTATTCCATTTGCACAACAACATGTGAAATGTATTGTCAATCAGTGTTGCTTCCTAAGTGGACAGTTTGATTTCACAGAAGTGTGATTGACTTGGAGTTACATTGTGTTGTTTAAGTGTTCCCTTTATTTTTTTGAGCAGTGTGTGTATATATATATATATATATATATATATATATACACACACACATACACACCTGATATAGGATCTATAACTTTGATCTGTTCCATCCTCAGGAGAAGAGGAAGGTTGTGTTATCAAACAGGAGATGTTCCAGCCAGGTGGACCCAGTGCTTTCCCAGAGAGAGATGGTCAACAGGAAACGGCCACACCCAGCTCTTCCTGTGTATACGAAAGGATGGAAGAGAGGAAGGCCCATGTGGTTCATATCAAAGAGGAGCCCGATGAATTGGGGGACTTGGTTACCCAGATTATCACATCCACAGATTCCCCCATAATCAGCCTGAGTCGTCTGCAGAGATTGAGCTCACATCCTGGGGTATGGACCAGGGAGCCTCTTTCTCCAGCACCAGCGGCCAGGGAGTCTCCACCTCCAGCCCCATGGACCAGGAAGGAGCAGCACCTACTCCCAAGGTCAGTAATACCCACCCAGGGGACAGAGCATGCTGTGGGGGCCCTCGAGACCAGCGCCTACGGCCTGAGGATCAACACAACGGCACAGCTGATGGTCAAACCCTACAGCTGCCAACACTGTGGGAAGAGCTTCCCTCAGCTCCGAAACCTGAAAGACCACCAGAAGTACCACCACACAGGGAAGAAAGCCTTCACCTGCTCCCAGTGTGGTAAGGGTTTTGTGTACATGTCCCACTTCAGGGTACACATGCAGTGCCACACAGGGGAGAGGCCGTTCAGCTGCTCTCAGTGTGGGAAGAGCTTCAACCTTCAGAGTGGCTTGATGAAACACAGGGTCCTTCACACTTTAGAGAGAGACCTTACCACTGCACGTACTGTGGGAACATATTCAATTCTAGAGCAGACCTGAAAAGACATGAACAGATTCATGCAGCAAGGTAGACCTTTGAGATGAAGCAGGTTGATTTAGAAAATCAGAGGGGGGAAATAACTGCCAACGTGTACTATGTTCAACGTATCAATAGTTGCTGATGCATTTCATATTGAGAGGAATAAAACTCTTCATGAAGAAATTATTCTCATCCTTTCTTAATAAATGATTGGTCACACTGTTATTTATTTGTTACATACACACACATATATCTTAAAAGTAAAAGAGTAATAAGCAAGTAGCCTTGTCTGAGTCCGAACGGCCCATAGAGTAACTTACTCTGGCAAATAAATACATTTGGAACTGTACTTTAGACAGAGATTCTAAGATTTAAAAAAATATGTACCAGATCTGCGCAGTCGCATTGGCAGTATGGTCACCTCGATGTCACAGATCGGGGGGCGGGACCCAACCAGTCTAGTTAGTTAGCTATTAGTTTAGTTATTATGGATAATCTGTGCTATAACATACAGTAGTGATGGGGAAACGAAGCTTCATGAAGCATTTAGCATTTCCAGTCGATTGTGTGGAAAATAGGTTAATTACGCGAGGCTTTGATCAACAGGTTGTACACTAGTGGCACCTCCTGGTCAAAATAATTTAGAACAGCCAAATTATTATAGTTTACTTCGCACACGCCGCAGCGCGTGCTCAGGGTAGCCACAGATAACATCTTTGGGGTGGCTTTTTTGGCTTTTAACGAAACCTATGGATCAGGTGGTTGTTCGACAAAACGAAGCTTCAGACGCCATTGATCACGTGCTTCTGACAAAGCAATACAAGCGTCAGCACACTGCTTCGAAAAAAACTGATTAGCGATTTCTACGCATGTCTCGGAGTTCCGGTATAAATCATGACATCACTAATATACATTAGCTACCTGTCTTTTTTTACCCATGTATACAGTTCTAGGAGAGATAGCTAGGATGTTTGTAACTAGTTGATTTGTTGACGCACAACAAAAAACAACGTTCGGAAAGTGGTAAGCATATTTTTATTTGAGTCAAAAGGTCAGAATGCTGCTACACAACCCCGTGTTATTGTCAGTAGCATAACTAGCTAGGTGCTTTTAGCAACGCGGGTGTATTTACACATTTAGCGTTGCTTTCTACAGTATTGTATTGGGTTGCACAAAAACAGTCCGTGGGAAGCCAGGAGTTAAATATAATTCAATTTCAACGTACTTTGCAGGTGGGTAGGATGGTTAGTAATTATGACGGGGGAATTTGACACATATCTAAAGGATCGTGTTATTAAATAGACTTCCCAAACGTGGGTCTTCCTCTCTGCTTAACCTTACCTCATGTCAAAATAAAATTCCAGCACAAGGTATTCATTTTTTGTCCACATATGTCGCACCTGCAGGACTTTTATTTTGACATGAGGTAAGCAGGGAGGGAGTGGGTCTACAACAGACCCACGTTTGGAAAGTCTGTTTAATAGTATGATCCTTTTAGAGGTTTTGTCTCAACACGCACTGCCAAAACCACCTAACGTTACTAGCTAGCAAACTTGAGAAATGCATTATTTGGTATACCTAACCACAGCCAAAAGTGGTGTACAGTGCATTCTGAAAGTATTCAGACCCCTTGACTTTTTCCACATTTATTACATTACAGCCTTATTGTATTAAAAATAAAAAAACAAATATCACATTTACATAAGTATTCAGACCCTTTACTCATTACTTTGTTGAAGCACCTTTGGCAGCAATTACAGCCTCGAGTCTTCTTGGGTATGACGCAACAAGCTTGGCACACCTGTATTTGGGATGTTTCTTAAATTCTTCTCTCCAGATCCTCTCAAGATCTGTCAGGTTGGATGGGGAGCATCGCCACACAGCTATTTTCAGGTCTCCAGAGATGTTTGATCGGGTTCAATTCCGGGTTCAAGTCCGGGCTCTGGCTGGGCCACTCAAGGACATTCAGCGACTTGTCCCGAAGCCACTCCTGCGTTGTCTTGGCTGTGTGCTTAGAGTCGTTGTCCTGTTGGAAGGTGAACCTTCACCCCCAGTCAGGTCCTGAGCGCTCTGGAGCAGGTTTTCATCAAGGATCTCTGTACTTTGGTCCGTTCATCTTTCCCTCGATCCTGACTAGTCTCCCAGTCCCTGCTGTTGAAAAACATCCCCACAGCATGATGCTGCCACCACCATGCTTCACCGTAGGGAGGGTGCCAGGTTTCCTCTAGACGTGACGCTTTGCATTCAGGCCAAAGAGTTCAATCTTTGTTTCATCAGACCAGAGAATCTTGTTTCTAATGGTCTGAGAGTCCTTTAGGTGCCTTTTGGCAAACTCCAAGCAGGCTGTCATGTGCCTTTTACTGAGGAGTGGCTTCCGTCTGGCCACTCTACCATAAAGGCCTAATTGGTGGAGTGCTGCAAAGATGGTTGTCCTTCTGGAAGGTTATCCCATCTCCACAGAGTAACTCTGGAGCTCTGTCAGAGTAACCATCGGGTTCTTGGTCACCTCCCTGACCAAGGCCCTTCTCCCCCGATTGCTCAGTTTGGCTGGGAGGCAAGCTCGAGGAAGAGTCTTGGTGGTTCTAAACTTCTTCCATTTAAGAATGATGGAGGCCACTGTGTTCTTGAGGACCTTCAATGCTGCAGACATTTTTTGGTACCCTTCCCCAGATTTGTGCCTCGACACAATCCTGTCTCGGAGCTCTACGGACAATTCCTTCGACCTCATGGCTTGGTTTTCGCTCTGACATGCACTGTCAACTGTGGGACCTTTATATAGACAGGTGTGTGCCTTTCCAAATCATGTCCAATCAATTGAATTTACAACAGGTGGACTCCAATCAAGTTCTCAAGGATGATCAATGGAAACAGGATACACCTGAGCTCAATTTCAAGTCTCATAGCAAAGGGTCTGAATACTTATGTAAATAAGGTATTTCTGTTTTTTATTTGTAATACATTTGCAAACATTTCAAAAACCTGTTTTTGCCTTATCATTATGGGGTATTGTGTGTAGATTGATGTGGAATTTATTTGATCAATTTTAGAATAAGGCTGTAATGTAACAAAATGTCAAAAAAAGTCAAGGGGTCTGAATACTTTACAAATGCACTAATTTGTTCATTACGAGCATGTTTCTGGGCTAAATCATTGGTAGGTGAGCTGCCTAATACTGACAAGATATTTGAGGCACATCAAGACCACATTTGGTGTTTTTGACAACTTGCCCCTGTTTCCAGGAGGAAGATCCCTGACTCTCTGGGCACTGGTGTGATCTGGAGGCTAAATCCCAGTCTTTCCATTATAGTGAACCAAACTGGGAAACAAGTGGGGCAGCTCATCCATAGAAGACTGGCTGTGAACTCTGGGACTGGTACCGATAAGGGAAGGGGGGTTGATTTTCCAGTGTTCAGTTGATGTTGTTGCAGCTATGTCAGAAGCCATCCTCACCTTCCAGTACCAACTCAATGGAGTCATGGAAACGGTCCTCAAAACCGCCGTGCATGAGATCACTCGGCTGGTGAAGGACAGCTTCCTGGAGGAAGTGACACGGAGCAAGCAGGAAGTGGACGTCTTGAAGGAGAGGCTGCAGCAGTGTGAGCAGAGATGGAGGGACGGAGAGGAAGAGAGGAAGAGGAGGGAAGTTGAAGAGAAAGAGCAGAGAAAGAAGAGGGAAGAGAGAGAGCAGAGGGGGATGTGTAGGAGATGTGGTTGTGCTGGAGACACTGAAGAGAGAGAAGAGGCTCTGTCAGGTGAGAGGAACACACACACACACACACACACACAATATAGGATCTCTGACTTTTTTTTTGTTCTCTCCTCAGGAGCAGAGGAAGGTTTTGTTATCAAACAGGAGATGTTCCAGCCAGATGGACCCAGCGCGAGAGAGGGTCCACAGGAAACGGCCACACCCAGCTCTTCCTGTGTCTCTGAGAGGATGGTAGAGAGGGATGCCCATGTGGTCCATATCAAAGAGGAGCCCAATGACTGGGGGGACTTGGTAAACCAGATGGTCACATCCACAGATTCCCCCATAATGAGCCTGAGTCGTCTGCAGAGATTGAGCTCAAATCCTGGGGCATGGACCAGTGAGCCTCAGCCTCCACCTCCACTCCCAGCACCATGGGCCAGTGAGCCTCATCCTCCAGCAACATGGGCCAGAGAACCTCTACCTCCAGCACCATTGGTCAGGGAGCCTCCACCTCTACCTCCAACACCATGGACCAGGAAGGAGCAACACTTACTCCCAAGGTCAGTGATACCCACTCAGGGGACAGAGCATGCTATGAGGGCCCTCGAGACAAGCCCCAACGGCCTGAGCCTCAACACAACGGCACAGCTGAGGGTCAAACCCTACAGCTGCCCACACTGTGGGAAGAGCTTCCCTCAGCTCCGAAACCTGAAAGACCACCAGAAATACCACCACACAGGGAAGAAGGCCTTCACCTGCTCCCAGTGCGGGAAGGGCTTTGTGTACATGTGCCACCTCAGGGTACACATGCAGTGCCACACAGGGGAGAGGCCGTTCAGCTGCTCTCAGTGTGGGAAGAGCTTCAGCCTTCAGAGCGGCTTGAAGAGACACAGGGTCATTCACACTGCAGAGAGGCCTTACCACTGCACGGACTGTGGGAACAGATTCTATTCTAGATCGGACCTGAAAAGACATGAACACATCCAGTGCAAGGTAGACCTTTGAGAAGGAGCAGGTTAATTTGGAAAATCAGAGGGGGGAAATAGTACACCTGGGCAGTCATGTTCAATGTATTGTTGCTGATGCATTTCATGTTGAGAGGAATAAAACACATTATGAAGAAATTATTCTCATCATTTCTTACTAAATTATTGGTCACACACAGTGTTAACTGTTACATACACAAACAAATATCTTAAGTAAAAGAGTAGTAAGTAAGTGGCCTTGTCCGAATGAAAATGGCTCATAGAGTAACATAACTTACTCTGGAAATAAATACGTGACAGAGATTCCAACGTTGAAGAAAAATATTTACGAGTTCTGCGCAGTCCCATTCGCAGTATGATCACCTCGTTGTCACAGACCAGAGGGACGGGACCCAACCTCTCCAGTCTAGCCAAAGACAGAAGGGGTAACCCAGACACGTCACAGGGTCTATAAAGCTGAAGCATCCGTTTGGAATGTTTTTTCAGCACCAAATATGGTAGTGAGAGGAAGTTCAGTTGCGGGTAATGGGAGAGGATGGAACTAGGTGAAACTTGGCCGACTTCCTGCTAATTTTCTAATTAATGAAATATCTGATCTCAATAAATTTTCTGTTTCCAAAACTAAAATCTGTTACAAACACAGTGCATTAGGTTTTATAGACTTGACGCTTTGCCAACATTTAAAACAATTGCGTTGTTTAGAACGAGTGCAAGGTTCAATTGAATTTGTGCACACGCGCACTTCACAGAGACGTTCCCTTACGGAAAGATACAAATAACGCTACAACATGCCAATAGGATCTCGCTAGCTCGTGATTGGCTTTGCTGCTTGTTCTGCCCACTATGCTTCATTTGCTCCCGCTGTAAACGACACAGATTAACCATCTTGTGTTAGTTATATTTTATGTCTAGCCGTCTGTCTAGTAGCTGTTAGCGTATTACAGTAGCTAGCTAGCTACAGTTCTAGGAGAGACAGGATATTTGTAACTAGCTGATTTGTTGACGAACAACAAAAAACAACGTTTGTGAAGTGGTAAGAATATTTTTTGAAATCAACAGAGCTGCTACAGTACTACCCTGCGTTATTATCTGTAGCTAAAGCTAGCTAGCTAACTAGCAAGCTTGATAAATGCATTATTTTATACACCTAACCACAAGCAAAAAGGGGTGTAAGGGTTTATTAATTTGTTCATTACGAGCATGTTTCTAGGCTAAATCATTGGTAGGTGAGCTGCCTAATACTGACAAGATATTTGAGGCACATCAAGACCACATTTTGTGTTTTCGACAGCTTGCCCCTGTTTCCAGGAGGAAGATCCCTGACTCTCTGGGCACTGGTGTGATCTGGAGGAGGCTAAATCCCAGTCTTTCCATTAATATAGTAAACCAAACTAGGAAACAAGGGGGGCAGCTCATCCATAGAAGACTGGCTGTGAACTCTGGGACTGGTACCAGTAAGGGAAGGGGGGGGGGGGTTGATTTTCCAGTGATCAGTTGATGTTGTTGCGGTTATGTCAGAGGCCATCCTCACCTTCCAGTACCAGCTCAATGGAGTCATGGAAACGATCCTCAAAACCGCCGTGCATGAGATCACTCGGCTGGTGAAGGACAGCTTCCTGGAAAAAGTGACACGGAGTAATCAGGAAGTGGACGTCTTGAAGGAGAGGCTGCAGCAGTGTGAGCAGAGATGGAGGGACGGAGAGGAGGAGAGGAAGAGGAGGGAAGTTGAAGAGAAAGAGCAGAGAAAGAAGAGGGAAGAGAGAGAGCAGAGGGGGATGTGTAGGAGATGTGGTTGTGCTGGAGACACTGAGGAGAGAGAAGAGGCTCTGTCAGGTGAGTGAGGAGAGTCCATACACATACACAGTCTGATTAATCAGGATGTAATACAAAATTAATTGGTATATACAGCCTGAAACGTCCTTACAATGTTGAATCAAATTTAATTAAAACGTACTCAAATTAAAATCAAATGTTATTCATCACATGCTTCGTAAACAACAGGTGTGGACTAACAGTGTAATACTTACGAGCCCTTCCCAACAGTGCAGAGAGAAATAACATTTTGAAGTAATAAAAAAGTACCAGGTAATAATAAAAGTAGTAATAGATGCACAATGAGTAACGATAACTTGGCTATATAGAAGGGGTACCAGTACTGAGTCGATGTGCAGGGGTACGAGGTAATTGAGGTAGATATGTACATATAACTCAGAATAAATGGACAGATAGTAAACAGTAGGAGCAGCGTATATGATGAGTCAAAAAAGTCTGTGCAAATAGGGTCAATGCAGATGAATGTTGCACAGTATACCGAAACTTCGTAACTTTTTTTTTTTTTATGTACGATTCAGCACTAGAATTTTTGCTACGTTCTGTACTTCTGTCAAATGTGTCTCGTGATTGAGAGGATCAAGTCTGTATCAGCGCAGCCCCTTTATAGCACGGAAAGCAAAGTGCCTGCTCCACTTACTCATTCATTGCTAGAGCAGTCTGGGCTGCATTCGCTCCCCAGTCCCCACTCATGCTGCACATTAGTTTGCACACTAGTTTGCACACTTGAATAATGCAACACGGCATGTAGAAATGCTGAAACTGTTCATTACTGTTCACAAAACAATGTCCATACAGGCTGGAACACTTTTAATGGTTCGTCGGAGGGCGTACCGGTTTCCGTTTGTCCTTTAGCTGCTCAAAATTTGAGACAAAATATCCACAGAAAAGTATTGTTTACCCGACTTTAAAGAGCAGGTAGTTATATGGTTTGGTTCGGCACAGAGGTAAAGTTAGTTTTATTGGTATAAAATGTTTATATTCTGAATCGGGAGGATGGAGAACAATCCACACTTTTTAATTTTTTTTATTCAAGATTTATTTTCATGGTCATGGCATGCTTGGTTCAATAGCTATTGATGAGAGAACCAAATATCCAATATAAAACTAACTTTACCTTGGTGCTGAACTGAACCATACAGTGAGGGGAAAAAGTATTTGATCCCCTGCTGATTTTGTACGTTTGCCCACTGACAAAGAAATGATCAGTCTATAATTTTAATGGTAGGTTTATTTGAACAGTGAGATACCGAACAACAACAAAAAAATCCAGAAAAACGCATGTCAAAAATGTTATAAATTTATTTGCATTTTAATGAGGGAAATAACTATTTGACCCCTCTCAATCAGAAAGATTTCTGGCTCCCAGGTGTCTTTTATACAGGTAATGAGCTGAGATTAGGAGCACACTCTTAAAGGGAGTGCTCCTAATCTCAGTTTGTTACCTGTATAAAAGACACCTGTCCACAGAAGCAATCAATCAATCAGATTCCAAACTCTCCACCATGGCCAAGACCAAAGAGCTCTCCAAGGATGTCAGGGACAAGATTGTAGACCTACACAAGGCTGGAATGGGCTACAAGACCATCGCCAAGCAGCTTGGTGAGAAGGTGACAACAGTTGGTGCGATTATTCGCAAATGGAAGAAACACAAAAGAACTGTCAATCTCCCTCGGCCTGGGGCTCCATGCAAGATCTCACCTTGTGGAGTTGCAATGATCATGAGAACGGTGAGGAATCAGCCCAGAACTACACGGGAGGATCTTGTCAATGATCTCAAGGCAGCTGGGACCATAGTCACCAAGAAATCAATTGGTAACACACTACGCCGTGAAGGACTGAAATCCTGCAGCGCCCGCAAGGTCTCCCTGCTCAAGAAAGCCCATATACAGGGCCGTCTGAAGTTTGCCAATGAACATATGAATGTTTCAGAGGTGTTGTGGTCAGATGAGACCAAAATCGAGCTCTTTGGCATCAACTCAACTCGCCGTGTTTGGAGGAGTAGGAATGCTGCCTATGACCCCAAGAACACCATCCCCACCGTCAAATATGGAGGTGGAAACATTATGCTTTGGGGGTGTTTTTCTGCTAAGCGGACAGGACAACTTCACCGCATCAAAGGGACGATGGACGGGGCCATGTACCATCAAATCTTGGGTGAGAACCTGCTTCCCTCAGCCAGGGCATTGAAAATGGGTCGTGGATGGGTATTCCAGCATGACAATGACCCAAAACACACGGCCAAGGCAACAAAGGAGTGGCTCAAGAAGAAGCACATTAAGGTCCTGCAGTGGCCTAGCCAGTCTCCAGACCTTAATCCCATAGAAAATCTGTGGAGGGAGCTGAAGGTTCGAGTTGCCAAACGTCAGCCTCGAAACCTTAATGACTTGTAGAAGATCTGCAAAGAGGAGTGGAACAAAATCCCTCCTGAGATGTGTGCAAACCTGGTGGCCAACTACAAGAAACGTCTGACCTCTGTGATTGCCAACAAGGGTTTTGCCACCAAGTACTAAGTCATGTTTTGCAGAGGGGTCAAATACTTATTTCCCTCATTAAAATGGAAATCAATTTATAACATTTTTGACATGCGTTTTTCTGTTTTTTGTTGTTGTTATTCTGTCTCTCACTGTTCAAATAAACCTACCATTAAAATTATAGACTGATCATGTCTTTGACAGTGGGTAAAACATACAAAATCAGCAGGGGATCAAATACTTTTTTCCCTCACTGTATACCTAACGACCATATACCTACCGACTCTTTAAAAAGTTGAGTAAACAATACTTTCCTGTGGATATTTTGTCTCAAATTTTGAGCAGCTGAAGGACAGACCACACAGACAACCGCTAGAGTTTAAATGTAGTTTTATTCACTATTCTGGCTTGTAAGGAACATTTACATAATTTTGCAGGCATTTAGTTTCAGGCTGTATATACCAATTAATTGTGTATTACAGCCTGATTAATCAGACTAACACACACCTGATATAGGATCTATAACTTTGTTCTGTTCTATCCTCAGGAGCAGAGGAAGGTTGTGTTATCAAACAGGAGATGTTCCAGCCAGATGGACCCAGCGCTCTCCCAGAGAGAGAGGGTCCACAGGAAATGGCCACACCCAGCTCTTCCTGTGTCTCTGAAAGGATGGAAGAGAAGGAGGCCCATGTGATCCATATCAAAGAAGAACCCAATGACTGGGGGGATCTGGTTACCCAGATGGTCACATCCACAGATGCCTCCATAGTGAGCCTGAGTCGTCTGCAGAGATTGAGCTCACTTGCTGGGGCTTGGACCAGTGAGCCTCAGCCTCCACCTCCACTCCCAGCACCATGGGCCAGTGAGCCTCTTCCTCCAGCACCATGGGCCAGTGAGCCTTTTCCTCCAGCACCATGGGCCAGTGAGCCTCCACTACCTCCAGCACCATGGACCAGGAAGGAGCAGCACCTACTCTCAAGGTCCGTGATACCCACCCAGGGGACAGAGCATGCTATGGGGGCCCTCGAGAGCATCAACACAACGGCACAGCTGAGGGTCAAACCCTTCAGCTGCCCACACTGTGGGAAGAGCTTCCCTCAGCTCCGAAACCTGAAAGACCACCAGAAGTACCACCACACAGGGAAGAAGGCCTTCACCTGCTCTCAGTGCGGTATGGGCTTTGTGTACATGTGCCACTTCAGGGTACACATGCAGCGCCACATGAGGGAGAGAGCATTCAGCTGCTCTCAGTGTGGGAAGAGCTTCAGCCTTCAGAGCGGCTTGGAGAAACACAGGGTCCTTCACACTGCACGGATTGTGGGAACAGATTCTATTCTAGAGCGGACCTGAAAAGACATGAACAGGTTCATGCAGCAAGGTAGTAGACCTTTGAGACGAAGCAGGTTGATTTAGAAAATCAGAGGGGGGAAATAACTGCCCACGTGTACTATGTTCAATGTATCAATAGTTGCTGATGCATTTGATGTTGAGGAATAAAACTCTATGAAGAAATTATTCTCATCCTTTCTTAAATGGTTGGTCAAACGATGTTATTAACTGCGACATACACACACAGATATCTTAAACGTAAAATAGTAATATGTAAGTAGCCTTTTCCGAACCACAACGGCCCCCATAGAGTAACAGATATCTTCCTCTGGGAAATAAATACATTTGACAGAGATTCCCACCTCAAAGAAAAAGATGTACAAGTTCTGCGCATTCGCAGTATGATCACCTCGATGTCACAGACCATGGGCGTGTACCAACCTCTCCAGTCTAGCTATTAGCTATTAGCTTATTATAGTAGCTAGCTACCTGTCGTCTCTCAAGAAAAGTGCGCCATTGAAAGGAGTGATTACTGGGGTAACGGTAAATGTGAAAATTGACCAACTGAAGGGGAAGATTCCCGGTGTTTGTGATGCTCGTCGTTTGGTGCGATGCAGACAGGGTGGCGTGAGTGGAGAAACAGAAGAGTCGTTGTCTGGTCTTTTGAGTTTTGATGTTGAGTCTTTGCCCAACAAAGTGATGTAAGTTATCCTGTACGAGCTTTTGTGCCGAACACATTACGTTGTTACAGGTGTCAAGCTTATGGGCATGTGGCAGCAGTGTGTAGGAGGGAGGTTCCAAGGTGTGAGAAGTGTACAGCAGGGCATGAGACAAAGGAATGAGTAGCATTGGGGAAAGTAGTGGTATGTGTTAATTGCAGGAGTGCCCATGGGGCTGGGGATCAGAAATGTCCAGTGCGAGAGAAGCAGGTTGAGGTTTCCAGGGTTAGAGTAGTGCAGGTGCATCCTGTTTCAATTGATCATCCTTGAGATGTTTCTACAACTTGATTGGAGTCCACCTGTGGAAAATTCAATTGATTGGACATGATTTGGAAAGGCACTATCCTGTCTATATAAGGTCCCACAGTTGACAGTGCATGTCAGAGCAAAAACCAAACCATGAGGTCGAAGGAATTATCGTTAGAGCTCCGAGATGGGATTGTGTCGAGGCACAGATCTGGGGAAGGGTACCAAAAAATGTCTGCAGCATTGAAGGTCCCCAAGAACACAGTGGCTTCCATCATTCTTAAATGGAAGAAGTTTGTAATCACCAAGACTCTTCCTAGAGCTGGTCGCCTGGCCGAACTGAGCAATCGGTGGAGTAGTGCCTTGGTCAGGGAGGTGACCAAGAACCCGATGGTCACTCTGACAGAGCTCCAGAGTTGTGGAGATTGGAGAACCCTCCAGAAGGACAACCATCTCTGCAGAACTCCACCAATCAGGCCTTAATGGTAGTGGCCAGAAGGACGCCACTCCTCAGTAAAAGGCACATGACAGCCTGATTGGAGTTTGCCAAAAGGCACCAAAAGGACTTTCAGACCATGAGGAACAAGATTCTCTGGTCTGATGAAACCAAGATTGAACTCTTTGGCCTGAATGCCAAGCATCATGTCTGGAGGAAACCTGGCACCACTCATCACCTGGCCAATACCATCCCTACGGTGAAGCATGGTGGTGGCAGCATCATGCTGTGGGGATGTTTTTCAGCGGCAGGTACTGGGAGACTAGTCAGGATCAAGGGAAAGATGAACGGAGCAAAGTACAGAGATCCTTGATGAAAACCTGCTCCAGAGCACTCAGGACCTCAGACTGGGCCGAAGGTTCACCTTCCAACAGCCAAGACAATGCAGGAGTGGCTTCGGGACAAGTCTCTGAATGTCCTTGAGTGGCCCAGCCAGACCCGGACTTGAACCCGATCTAACATCTCTGGAGAGACCTGAAAATAGCTGTCCAGCGACGCTCCCCATCCAACCTGACAGAGCTTGAGAGGATCTGAAGAGAACAATGGGAGAAACTTCCCAAATACAGGTGTGCCAAGCTTGTAGAATCATACCCAAGAAGACTCAAGGCTGTAATCCCTGCAAAAGGTGATTCAACAAAGTACTGAGTAAAGGGTCTGAACACTTTTATGTAAATGTATATTTCATTTATTTTTAATTTTTTGGCAAACATTTCTAAAAACCTGTTTTTGCTTTGTCATTATGCGTTATTGTTTGTAGATCGATGAGGAAAAAAAGAGAATTTAATACATTTTCGAATAAGGCTGTAACGTAATATAATGTGAAAAAAGTGAAGGGGTCTGAATACTTTCCGAATGCACTTCAGTAACATTGGATTTTTAGCGTTTATAGCAATGGTTATCAACTGTACTGCAGGGATGGTACGTAAGTTGCAGAAAATTGAGGTTGTGGTGGCAGCTGCAGAGAGGTATTTGGGTATACGAGACTTGACGTCAGAAGAGTTACAGGGTGTGTTGAGTGGTGATGCCCAGGGTCCCTGCTCATCTGCGTGAACGTGCCTTAGGCATGCTGCAAGGAGGCATGAGGACTGCAGATGTGGCCAGGGCAATAAATTGCAATGTCCGTACTGTGAGACGCCTAAGACAGCGCTACAGGGAGACAGGACGGACAGCTGATCGTCCTCACAGTGGCAGACCACGTGTAACAACACCTGCACAGGATCGGTACATCCGAACATCACACCTGCGGGACAGGTACAGGATGGCAACAACAACTGCCTGAGTTACACCAGGAACGAACAATCCCTCCATTAGTGCTCAGACTGCCCACAATAGGCTGAGAGAGGCTGGACTGAGGGCTTGTAGGCCTGTTTTATGGTAGGTCCTCACCAGACATCACTGGCAACAACGTCGCCTATGGGCACAAACCCACCGTCGCTGGACCAGACAGGACTGGCAAAAAGTGCTCTTCACTGACGAGTCGCGGTTTTGTCTCACCAGGGGTGATGGTCGGATTCGCGTTTATTGTCGAAGGAATGAGCGTTACACCGAGGCCTGTACTCTGGAGCGGGATCGATTTGGAGGTGGAGGGTCTGTCATGGTCTGAGCTTGTTGTCATTGCAGGCAATCTCAACGCTGTGCGTTACAGGGAAGACATCCTCCTCCCTCATGTGGTACCCTTCCTGCAGGCTCATCCTGACATGACCCTCCAGATTGACAATGCCATCAGCCATACTGCTCGTTCTTTGCGTGATTTCTTGCAAAACAGGAATGTCAGTGTTCTGCCATGGCCAGCGAAGAGGCCGGGGTGCCTTGGTGGAAGAGTGGGGTAACATCTCACAGCAAGAACTGGCAAATCTGGTGCAGTCCATGAGGAGGAGATGCACTGCAGTACTTAATGCAGCTGGTGGCCACACCAGATACTGACTGTTACTTTTGATTTTGAACTCCCCTTTGTTCAGGGACACATTATTCAATTTCTGTTAGTCACATGTCTGTGGAACTTGTTCAGTTTATGTCTCAGTTGTTGAATGTTATTATGTTCATACAAATATTTACACACGTTCAGTTTGCTGAAAATAAACGCAGTTGACAGTGAGAGGACGTTTCTTTTTTTGCTGAGTTTATAAGGGAGTTATACTCCAGTCTAGTAGATGCCAACCGCCGTTAAACCTCATCGAAGAAGAATAACTAGCTACTGTCGTAGTAAATATATTTACTCGTAGTGAATATAAATGTTATAGATGTGTAAGATGTTGTGCAAAGACCTATTTAGGTCAGGAGCTTGTTTTCAATAAATGCTGTTCCTATGCAAGAACAATGGACAGAGGACCATATCTTGTCACCAGGTGGCCAAGGACAACACCCACGCCACAGGCCACAATCACTTGCTGCTCCCCACGAGTTTCCCTTGAGACACACACACACACACACACACACACACACACATCTCACTGTGGACGCACACTCATTCTCATCTTGACACACATACACACACACACACACACACACACACACACACACACACACACACACACACACACATCTCACTGTGGACGCACACACATTCTCAACTCCCCTTCTACTGGTCGGGTGCCAAGGGCAGAGGACTCTGCCGTGCACCAATGGGGCATCTGCTCTGGACAGAGCAGACCCGCCTCCTACGCCTCGGGAACCAATCAAGGGACTAGAAGAAGGACCCCTTCCTTTATGTTACATTGTATAAAATAATGCTGTAACTCTGTTTATCGATCCCTTCTCAACTGTCTCCATAAGAGGCAATTGAATGGGTCCATGCATGTAGCTTGAGCAGTACCAGCTATCTCTGTTTTAATAAACTGCCTTTTGCTTAAGCAAATTCCTCTCTGTCTAGCGTCGTTGGTTTTGTACTTCCTCTCCTAATTATGGGTTCACCAACACTACCTGTCTCTGTTATCTAGTGGAAACCCCAGTCTAGCTAGTAGCTATTAGCTAGCTTATTACAGTAGCTAGCTACCTGTCTCGGTTACTTCTGTTTACAGTTCTAGGAGAGATAGGATGTTTGTAACTAGCTGATTTGTTGATGCACAGCAAAAACTTCCGTCTGAGAAGTGCTACGAATATGTTTTATTTGAGTCAAATGGTCAGAAAGCTGCTACTACCCTGTGTTATTGTATGTAGCTAAAGTTAGCTACACTAGCTAGCAAGCTTGAGAAATTGATTATTTGATGTGCCTAACCAAAGGCAAAAAGTGGTGTAAGTAAGGGTTTGTTCATTAGGAGCATGTTTCTGGGCTAAATCATTGGTAGGTGAGCTGCCTAATACTGACAAGATATTTGAGGCACATCAAGACCACATTTGGTGTTTTTGACAGCTTGCCCGTTTCCAGGAGGAAGATCCCTGACTCTCTGGGCACTGGTGTGATCTGGAGGAGGCTAAATCCCAGTCTTTCCATTAATATAGTGAACCAAACTGGGAAACAAGGGGGGCAGCTCATCCATAGAAGACTGGCTGTGAACTATATTTTCCAGTGTTGAGTTGATGTTGTTGCAGTTATGTCAGAAGTCATCCTCACCTTCCAGTACCAACACAATGGAGTCATGGAAACGGTCCTCAAAACAGCCGTGCATGAGATCACTTGGCTGGTGAAGGACAGCTTCCTGGAGGAAGTGACACGGAGCAAGCAGGAAGTGGATGTCTTGAAGGCGAGGCTGCAGCGGTGTGAGCAGAGGTGGAGGGGAGGAGCGGAAGAGGAGGGAAGTTGAAGAGAAGGAGTAGAGAAAGAAGAGAGAGAGCAGAGGGGGATGTGTAGGAGATGTGGTTGTGCTGGAGACACTGAGGAGAGAGAATAGGCTCTGTCAGGTGAGTGCTTTTACAACTGAATGTCCCCTCTGGGATTGATTATATCTATCTAATGTAATTACTAGGGCCGGGACCATACCAGTATCACGATACTCATTAGTATCATGGCAAGGAAACAAAACACGAAGCAGATTTGACTTCTTTAGGGAAAATAGCACGAATGTTGGAAACAAACATCATTATTTATTTTCCAAGCTATAGCACACTATTTTACATACAGCAGGTTTTTAAAGGACCAAAGAGTTCTGTCTATTTCATGTTTGCCATGGAGAGAATATTGCAATACTGGTATCGTCCCGGCCCAACTAATTACCATGGTAATACCATGTTGATGGGTTGTGTTGATACTAGTTTAGACAGAGGTAACATAGACTATACAGGTTAAAGCTGACACACACCATGAATACTATATCTGGTTCTGGCCTTTCCTCAGGAGCAGAGGAGGGTTGTGGTATCAAACAGGATGAGATTCTCCAGTCAGAGGGACTCAACGCTTTGACAGAGGCCCATGAGGTCCATGTCAAAGAGGAGGCCTATGCACAGGTAGACTGGGGGGGATGTGCTAACCCTGACGATCCCATACACCGATGTCCCCCATAGTAACCCTGACTTGTCTGCACCGTGGACCAGTAAGCCTCAGCCTCCACCTCGACTCCCAGCACCATGGACCAATGAGGAGCAGCCTTCACCCTCAGTTACCTTTCACCCTCATGTTACATCAAGAGCTGCAATGATTATTATTCTGCTGGAATTATTAGTGAGTTTGATATGAAATCATTGCACTGGGCTTGTTGTAAACAACATACAGTGTTGAGCTCCAAAAGTATTGGGACTGACATGTTTTGTTGTTTTGGCTCTGTACTCCAGCACTTTGGATTTGAAATGTGTTTCAGATTATTTTGTGCCCGATAGAAATGAATGGTAAATAATGTATTGTGTCATTTTGGAGCCACTTTTATTTTAAATAAGTATAGAATATGTTTCTAAACACTTCTACATTCATGTGGATGCTACCATGATTATGGATAATCCTGAATGAATAGAGAATAATGAGTGAGAAAGTTAGATGCACAAATATTATACCTCCCCCCAAAAAATTCTAACCTCCCCTGTTATTGTAATGGTGAGTGGTTAGCATGTGTTGGGGGTATGATATTTGTGCGTCTAACATTCTCACTCATCATTATTCACGATTCATTAAGAATTATCCGTAATCATGGTAGCATCCACATGAATGTAGAAGTGTTTAGAAACATATTCAATTCTTATTTACAATACAAATGACTCCAAAATGACACTACATTTTATAAACTGGGTAGTTTGAGCCCTGAATGCTGATTGGCTGAAAGCCACGGAAATGACATAAAATCACTTGTTTACTGTTCTAATTAGTTGGTAACCAGTTTATAATAGCAATAAGGCACCTCAGGGGTTTGTGGTACATGACCAATATACCATGGCTAAGGGCTGTATCCAGGCACTCAGCGTTGCGTTGTGCGAAAGAATAGCCCTTAGCTGTGGTATATTGGCCAAATACCATACCCGCTCTGGACTTATATATAATGCATTTCTATTGGGCACAAAATAATCTGAAACACAACCAAGAAAAACCCAGCAAATGCATCTAACAAATTTGTAGAGTCACAAGCCTGATGTCGTCGTTGTGTGCTATGAATATGGGACCAAATACTACACTTTTTACTACTTTAATACACATAAATGAATTTGTCCCAATACTTTTGGTACCCTAAAATGGAGGGGACTATGTACAAAAAGTGCTGTAATTTCTAAACGGTTCACCCGATAAGGATGAAACTACCCTCAAATAATTAAAGCTGACAGTCTGCACTTTAACCTCATAGTCATTCTATCATTTCAAATCCAAAGTGCTGGAGTACAGAGCCAAAACAACAACAAAATGTGCCACTGTCCCAATACTTTAGGAGCGCTCTGTTGCTAGCTATATACATTTGTTAGCCTCTCTAATCTCCACATTGGATTGGTCAGTTATTGTACTGTGTATCTCTTTATTCCTAACAGGTGACAGTAAGACAGTCCCATAAGCAGCTTGGGGAGGAGCTGAAATGGAGATTCGGCCCAAATGACTGGTATGTACTTTAATAACAAGGCCATTGACTCTTTGAAAAGCTGCTTGGTTTTGTTAGTTTGATTTACTCAAACATTTTATGGTTTTCAGTTGATTACTCACTCCATTGTAGAGGAAAATGCTAAGTCTAGTTGTCAACTACAGTTGTAGTCCCCTGTAGCTCAGTTGGTAGAGCATGGCGCTTGCAACGCCAGGGTTGTGGGTTCGTTTCCCACGGGGGGCCAGTATGAAAATGTATGCACTCACTAACTGTAAGTTGCTCTAGATAAGAGCGTCTGCTAAGTGACTAAATGATCACACTTGTGTTTCTTTTAATAATCTTAGGTTATCATTTTTCAGCTTCAGGTCCCTTCACAATGAGGAGGTGACCAAAGCAGTGATGCAGATTGTGAAGGATTGAGGCAAAACTGGGGGCCCGACAGTCTCATCAGAAGTGAGTGAGTTAATTTTCTGTAGCTACCAGACATGTACAGAATGTATGGTGACAATGTAAAGAATACCTCCTCTTCAAAAATATGTGCATCCTAATCCATTTATCTTGGGATATCAGTAAAATTAGTCAATGCTGTATCATATCCACAGTATTGTAACAATTATTTTTCACTGCCCATAGAGGCGTGTTACAGGGCTTATGAGTATTGGAAGGCTCAAGGGGAGATTGAGCTGGAGGGCAGCGTGGAGGTGATCAAGTACAAAATCCTCACCAGCAGGAGGAGCCAGGTTATGTTATACAGTAACATGAAGTAGTTACACACAGTAACATCAGTAACACACACCACTCAATATAACCACACACCAATCAGATATTATAATATTTTTTTAAATCCTGTGTCTTACTTCATCTAGGATATTCACGTTGAAAGCTTGGGAATATACACTGAGTGTACAAAACATTAAGAACACCTTCCTAATATTGAGTTGCACCCCTTTTTGCCCTCAGAACAGCCTCAATTTGTTGGGCATGGACTCTACAAGGTGTTGAAAGCGTTCCACAGGGATACTGGCCCATGTTGACTCCAATGCTTCCCTGAGTTGTGTCAAGTTGGCTGGATGTCCTTTGGGTGGTGGACCATTCTTTATACCCACGGGAAACTGTTGAGCGGGAAAAACCCAGCAGGATTGTAGTTCTTCACACAGACCGGTGTGCCTGGCACCTACTACCATACCCCGTTCAAAGGCACTTATATATTTTGTCTTTCCCATTCACCCTTTGAATGGCACACATACACAATCCATGTCTCAATTGTCTCAAGGCTTAAAAATATTTCTGTCTCCTCCCCTTCATATGCACTGATTTTATTGGGCTCCCAAGTGGCGCAGCGGTCTAAGGCACTGCATCTCAGTGCTTGAGGCGTCACTACAGACCCCCTGGTTCGATTCCAGACTGTATCACAACCGGCCGTGATTGGGAGTCCCATAGGGCGGCGCTCAATTGGCCCAGCGTCGTCCGGGTTTGGCCAGTGTAGGCCGTCATTGTAAATAAGAATTTGTTCTTAACTGACTTGCCTAGTTCGTTTTTTAAGTGGATTTAACAAGTGACATCAATAAGGGATCATAACTTTCACCTGGTCAGTCTGTCATGGAACGAGCAGGTGTTCATAATGTTTTGTACACTCAGTGTATATAATGTCTGTATTCACAATTTCACCAAGTTATAATGCTGTTTATTCAAGGTCTTTCTCTGTAGTATTTCAGCTCTTCCAGAGAGTAAAGGTGGGAGGAGAGCTCCTCGCCCTAGAAGATCTGGACTTCCTGGTTGGAGCAGACCCCAATTTCATGTCAGACGAGGAAAGTGATGCTGAAGACAAGTTCACCTATCATGTGGTCCCTCCCAGGTGGTGCTGGCAGAGGTTGACCCGGATTGTCCGGCTCTGTCAGAGAACCCTAGATGAGAATTGTCGTGAGGGCATTGAAAATTACAGGGGGGTACATTTACCTCCCGCAATCCCCCAAAAGGAAAGGCTAAGCAAGTGTATGTGAATAAAAAATAATAAACTTAAATGTTGTTATTTCTTAATTGATTGCTCAAACAGTGTTAATGACTGTCCACATTCTGGTAAATACCCTCAGTTTGCTGTTTCAAGGGGAGAGGCTCCAGATAAAAGTTGCCTCTAACCAGTGATTTAGGATCAGCTAAACCTTACCCCATCCTGAGCAGTGATTCTGTGAAGTGAAAAGCAAAACTCAAATCAAATTTCAAATCAAATGTTATGTCACATGCTTCAGAAACTAACAGTGAAATGCTTACTTATGGCCCTTCCCAACAATGCGAAACTGACCTTAGATTTGTGCCACTGAGGTAAAGGACGGACCATATTTGTGACTTTTCGTAGCAGGTTAGTAGAGCATTTTCGCTAACCCTTTTCCTAACCTTAACCTAATTCTCCTAATCTGCTACATAACTTCTCCTAACCTGTTACGAAAAAGTCGTAGCTGTATGGAAGTGGCGTGTTTTTAGGTAATCTCGGAGGGGGGTCCAGGTGCGACATCATCTCGCAGAGCAGTCATCCCTCAGGTTCTCTATGCTACCATCTACTGGTGTCATCTCTCAGTGCAGTGCATCTCTCAGGAAAAGTGGGGGTGTCAAAAGGAATGGACGTTTCGAAAGGAACCATATAAGGAGAAGTGGGGGTTTCGAAAGGTGCCACTCAAGACACGATTAGGTTATCGGACGTTTGTCATGGACTGCAGAGATGACAGTAAGGAATTTCAGTTATGCCAACAACAAAAAAATTATATTCACTCACTGTGAGCTGTGTCTTTGAACGTTACCTACCGGATGACTGCTCTGAGAGATGACGTCGCAGCTTGACCCTATTGGAATCTCGTGCCAGTGCTCAGGGACACATCCGAATCTTATTGGATATGTAAAATCGCGAGGGTAGGCGGAGAGGCGAGGTCCACTCGGAAAATTGTGGTGTAGTAGCTAATTCGAGCATTTGCACTACAGCGTACAGTTCTAACAGTAAATATTGTATGCTCCATACATTGAAAATATACGCCGACGACCAAGCCAACGTAGTCAGTTGGTTTAGAGACCGCTGTTTTTGCAGGTTCGTGCTGACCGACAGACTGCATCAATGTGTCTGCCATGTTTACGTTTTCGCGCGCGGATCCCCAGCTAGCTAGCTTTGCACATTTACTGCATGTTGTGTTGGACTTGCTCGTCTGTAAGCAATGCATACACCTTTGCAAATGATAACAACATTTAAAACAGTATAACGTGCATGTATAGACGTTAATACAGTTAGCTATGTGGCACACACGACATTTTAAACTCGTTTGTACTAGCCCACAATGTCTTCATCTCGAGTTGTGTAACGTTAACGTACTGTAACTAACGTTACAGCGGCATACATCCGGATAAATCCGGTTTTGAAAGTTAAATAATTAAGGAATGTGAGGTATAAATGTTATGTTGATGACAAAAAAGGTTTAACCAAAGCATCAAATTAAAGTAGCACCTTCTGCAAGACCTCTTTGATCACAGACACAGCTAATCAGCATCGTTTCTTTAGTTTGAAAACAATCCCAGCAGTATTTTCTAAAGTTTAAAGTTAGAAACTTTAGCTTTACCTTTTTGAATTTGGTCAAATAAGCCAAAAATAGTTTCCTGATATTGAATACAGTGTTAGTCTACTGTACTGTAACTTTACTGTTATTCTGTGTACCCACTGATGTTTATATGATTCTTGTTGATTGACAGCTGAGCTTCCAGCTCTAGAACCTGGGTGACATCACACAAACCTGAGCCAGGTGGAGGTGGAGCCAGGGGGACCAGAGATGTCGGAGAAGGTGCAGAACACCTTCAGGATGCAGCTGTCCTCCGTCATGGACTCCCTGCTCACTGCGGCCGTGTGTGAGATCTCCAAGATCTTTGAAGGCAGTCTGAGTGCGCAGCAGGCAGAGCTGACGCAGAGCGTAGAGGAGATCTCAGCATTGAAAGGGAAGCTGAGGCGGGCAGAGATGAGGTTGAAGGAGGGTGGAAAAAGAGAGGATTTGGACGATATGGCTGCCAACACCTCTGGGCAAACAGTCTCTGATGTGACGACAATTGCTGAGATAGAAGACGAAGGTAACTTGATAATGTGTAGACAAATAGCAACATACAATTTCAGGGCTTGTTGACACTGTAGACATGATCTGCATGTTTTTTCTCCCGGTTGGTGTCAGCTGAGCTTTATTATTCTGTGTCATTACATTTCTATCTTTGGGTTTCTATGCAGTACCCGATTGGTGCGAGCCCCTTCAGTCAGAAGATTCCTTAATTCCACCCTTGAAGATCAAAAAGGAAAATGAGGGGCCATGGGTGGACCTGCGACCACTGAGTGTGTCTCTATGGCGCATCCCTAACATCAAACAAGAGGTCAGTGACCGGTCCAGTGTGGGAAACCTGAATCAGTAAACAGACAGTCATCATGCACACCCAAATGTAGCACACGGGCTGAACAAAAAAAGTGGCTTCTGTTAATTAGGGTAAAGGGTAACTCTCAACCCCAATTTCAGCCTTTGCTCAACCCATTCACATTTTTAAAAAATGCATTCAGGTTGGGAGAATTGTTCATAAATATTCATTTTGGGGGTGGGTAAACGTAGTTGTACCTGATCCCAATACTTTCTCATTAAAGAAAATAGTAAAAATAAAGAAAAACCCTGGAATGAGTAGGTGTGTCCAAACTTTTGACTGGTACTGAATATCTGCCGCATGTGGGATTAAAACTCACAATGCACCACCAATCTGTCATAGCAGTTGGGAGAAAGTACAACAAGTTTAAGAACCACCATTATCATCTATTTGTTGTTACGATGGATGTAGCTACGAATATAAACATATAATCCTCATTGCCTACATGTTTTTTCTTTCTTTGTAAAAGCTCATAGATGTGTATGAAACAGTAAGCAAAATTTTTTAATTTGGTCATATGGGGAAATATGCCTTACTGCCTTTTGAATTTTGTGTAACGTCAGTAGTCTAGTCAAGGAAGCGTAATGCTAAATATATTGGCACACTTACCAAAACCATTACCAAATAACACTGTCACCTGCTTTTATAGCAAGCCTTGAGGTGGTACCACCCAGCACATCTAGAAGGGTGTGTATTTCATACCGAACCACTCCCTTGAGATGACGTGGAGGCACCTTCTTAAGGCACCTCTACATCACGATTTCAATGGTAGAGTTGAACTGTGAGGGGCAAAAAGAGCTAGATTTGCTACTAAAACACCTAAATATATCACATTTACAACGAGCTGTCAAAATGAAGACCAGAATTGATGTTTCACTATAACTAAGCCTAAAACATCTGGTTTTCCATGATTTTATTTATTTTCTCATGAAAGTCACTCTTTTAACGTCTGCTTTAGTAGTACTTTGGTGGCGTTTTTGGTTGTGAGCATATTCATTATGAGTCTGTGTTTTAGCAGGCTGAAGATTTTGATAACCACTTGCTGACAGCCCTAGCCAGGAGTCCTCCACGAAAAGGTAAGAGTAAATCATCCTTGCACCTCGTAATTGTAATTCAGCTCCTGGTGCAGGACATCATTACTGACCCCATGCTCCTCTCTCCTACAGGGTCGGCTGCGGAGCAGTTGTTAACCAGACGGTTAAAAGACTTACCTGAACTGAGCGTGGCCGGGTCAGGGTACGGTTGTGGTTCAGTAGGACGGGGGCGGGGGCGGGGGCTGAGGAAGACCCATGGTAGTCTGTTGTGCACGTCCAAACAAGAAAATCCGGAACCCCAGAGCAGCGTCTTGTCAGACAAGAATGTCTTGAGGCACCGCACAAGACAAGGAAAAGATAGTGACTTACAAAGCAAACACAGTGAGGGGAGACATGGGAAAACGAGTGACATAGTGAAAAAGAAGGTAGGAAGGAGAAGAAAGCATTTAAAAATGGAAACTAATGCAGAGGAAGAAGCAACAACCATTGGAACTGACAAGAGTTTCTGCTGCAAATACTGTGGGAAGGGCTTTCACAGAGAGTTTGGCCTTTCTGTGCACATGAGGTCTCATAACAAGGGGACATACAAATGTCCTAAGTGTCCCAAAAAGTTTCCGTATCCAAGTGCACTCCGTGTGCACACGTTGAACAGCCACGGCAAAACAGAAAATAACAAACCTTGCTCTAGCATCAAAGAAAAGTCCAACTCTATCAACCACAAAGTGAAACCCCTCTCCCCCAGCAGAACAAAGCCTACTTCCCCCATCAACAAACCTCTCTCTCCCAGCAAAGTGAAACCTCTCCCTGCCAGCAAGGCTAAACCACTACCCCCCAAAGACAATCCTACCTCCCCAAACAACAAAGTTGGCTCCCCCAAAGAAGGCAGCACACATCCAGAACTTTATTCTTGTCACGTTTGCCATAAGGAGTACACTTCTGCAAATTCCCTGCAGGACCACGAACGCATTCACACAGGTGAGAGACCGTACCCTTGTAACCAGTGTGGGCAGAGGTTCCGTGTAAAGCAGTTCCTGATATTGCATTTGCGTAAAGCCCATGCGGATGTGTACGGGGGTGAGGAGAGCAGCGGAGACCTCTCCTGGACTGCACCAGTGGAGGATCCCATTGCTAACGGTGCTGAGCAGCAACCTGCCATCAAATCAAAGAGCAAAGACGATCGACGTGCAAAGGCAAACAGCAAACGGAAACAAATGATAGAAACAGACGGCTTGTTCCAATGCACAGTGTGTAAAAAGCTGCTAAGTTCACAGATTAGCCTCGTTCAACACTTCCGCATCCACACAGGTGAGAAACCGCTCAGCTGCGAAGAGTGCGGCAAGAAATTCCGCTGTCACCCCATCTTGATCAGCCACAGGAGGTCCGCCCACCCGGGAAAGAAGTACCAATGCCTCAAGTGTGTCAAGCAATTTGAGACCATGGCCGAACGTAAAAGACATCTGCTACAAGTCCACCAATTCAAGAAACCAAACCCGCGGTCCCGCTGTCCTCGCTGTAGCAGGACTTTCCACAACAGTAACTCCCTGAGAATCCACTATGAAACTGTCCATGCCTGAGTCTGTCCCCACATGGCTCGGCCCAGTCACATTGGAGTGTTCAGCAGGGCCGGGGTCAATTCGAATTACATTAAGGAAATCAGATTATTACGTCCATTTGAAATTACATTTGTGATTTTGAAAAGTGCTGTTTATTTTCATTGAGCGTTTTTGTTATCATTGACTGACTGAGTGAAAAGGGAATTGACCCCAACCCTTGTGCCCAGTGAACTAACATGATGCTGAGAGAGGACGAAGAAAGCGCAAACTCACAAAGACTTGTGATTCACAAAAACTTGTGATATGGTGATCAATGTTTGTGATATGGTGCTCAATATGGGTATCACTGTTCAACCTGTGATATGGGGATAAATCTGTTTTCTGGGGGTTGCAGGATCACGCTTTTTTAAAGTCAGTGCCAGACCGGTTTATGGCGATTTGATTTCAACGCCTTGGAGCCATGTTTTTAGTTTTATGGTTTTAGTTCCATGTAAACACGTCTATCATTTATATGTTATTATGACAAATGTAACATGTTCATTGTACTGTACATTCCCTATGTTGTCAAGAAAAGCACAGGGCAGAAAATACCCATGTTTCTGACTCTGAAAATACTGAAAATCAGTTTTTTTTTTACATTAATAATATCTGTATTTACTGGAGGTTGACTTACCTTAATAGGTCATGCATACTCCAATAGGGGTGTTCATGGATCACCCAATTTCTTAGTGACCTTTTATGAATTACAATGATTGCACAAACATGGGCAATAGAGAGACCTCAGTAATAAAGGATTACAAATAGTACATGTTCCTCATTTGCAATAATTATTTCAAGTCGTTAGATCTTTAGGTTGGTGTGTCACAATTAAAAGCTGTGTTCACATTGAAGTGACTCAAATCCAATTTTCTTTGCATATCCAATTTGAATCTGTTCATTTTCATGCAGTCTGAACAGCCAAAAAACACGTGGAATCTGATAATTCAAACCACCTTTGTAGGTGGTGTGAAGTCAGATACAAATATGAGTCCTGGCAATGTGACTTGTCGGAGTGGTCATATCTGATTTCAAATCAAATCAAATTTTATTGGTCACATGCTCCGAATACAACCGGTGCAGACATTACAGTGAAATGCTTACTTACAGCCCTTAACCAACAGTGCATTTATTTTAAACAAAAAAAGTAAGAATAAAACAACAACAAAAAAAGTGTTGAGAAAAAAAGAGCAGAAGTAAAATAAAGTGACAGTAGGGAGGCTATATATACAGGGGGGTACCGTTGCAGAGTCAATGTGCGGGGGCACCGGCTAGTTGAGGTAGTTGAGGTAATATGTACATGTGGGTAGAGTTAAAGTGACTATGCATAAATACTTAACAGAGTAGCAGCAGCGTAAAAAGGATGGGGTGGGGGGGGCAGTGCAAATAGTCCGGGTAGCCATGATTAGCTGTTCAGGAGTCTTATGGCTTGGGGGTAGAAGCTGTTGAGAAGTGTTTTGGACCTAGACTTGGCACTCCGGTACCGCTTGCCGTGCGGTAGCAGAGAGAACAGTCTATGACTAGGGTGGCTGGAGTCTTTGACAATTTTGAGGGCCTTCCTCTGACACCGCCTGGTATAGAGGTCCTGGATGGCAGGAAGCTTTTATTTGAAGATTTATTTGCCCTCAAGTGTTTTTTAGACTTATTTGGCATATATTGTTGCTTGCTAGCTACTCTGTTGACAGTTTGGCAAGAACTTGTGGTAGCTAACTAGCTTGCAAATTGTTTAAACAAATTAGTGAATGTGCCAGAATGATAAACCGCTGTATAGTTGACTGCTGTGGCTAGCCAAAAAGGACTCGTTTTGATAGTTGGATACCTATGATTTTAAACATTCAAAGCAACTGGAAAACGTCCATGGCAGGCATTGTTGTCACCTTAGCTTGCTACATAACTTCTGATGGTTACCAATCAGCCTATACCACTGTTCGCACACCCTTCGTTACTATGACAACTAGCGTAGCCATGTCAGCAAATGACTGCTATCTGAACACACACACATCCGATTTGGTCACTTGTAACTTGCTGTTTGGCCAGTCAGTTTTACAAAACAGATTTGAGGTTTAAGGCCTGCAATGCGTACAAGGCTTTCGACAAAGATATTTATAACTAACCCAAGATAGTTCATCTGTGTCGTTTCCAATGGGAGCAAATGAAGCATAGTGGGCAGGACCAAGCGCGAGATCCTATTGGCCCGTTGTTGCATGTATTTGCATATCTTCGTTAGGGAACGCCTCCTCTGTGACGTGCGCGTGCACAAACTTATTTCGATCTTGCACTCCTAAACAACGCAATTTTTGGAAACTTTGGCAAAGAATCATGTCCATAAAACTTAGTGCACTGTGTTCGTAACAGATTTTCGTTTTGGGAACAGAAAAATGTTGAGATCAGATGTTTAATCGATGAGAAAATTAACACTACCCGCGACTGGACTTCCTCTCACTACCATATTTGGTGGCGAGAAAACGTTCTAAACTGGATGCTTCAACTTTATAACCCCTGTGACGTGTCTGGGTTATCCCTTCTGTCTGTGCTTTAGATCGAGTCCTAATAACCAAGGCTGAGGGTATCTCTAGGCTAACATGCCGCTCTATCGTTATATCTTCACGGTAAATAAGCAAAGAGATAGACTAGATGCTTTTCAACTTTCTGTGGAGAAAGTTGAAACTGAGCTACAGTCCCCTGTAGCTCAGTTGGTAGAGCATGGCGCTTGCAACGCCAGGGTTGTGGGTTCGTTTCCCACGGGGGGCCAGTATGAAAATGTATGCACTCACTAATAAGTCGCTCTGGATAAGAGCGTCTGCTAAATGACTAAAATGCAAAATGAGAAACCGTACCGTGTTGCTTTATTATTCAGGAACGTATCAAGTCCCTCAGAACATACCTACGATTAACCACGTTGACTCATCAGTAGGAAAGATTTGTTTTTCTATTGGTCCATTCAACAACAATAGAGCTACAGTATTTAAGCCTTGTTTCAGCAGGATGTTGTAGCTATGCCTTATTGGAACGGTTTTATTGATAATATATGTTGGATGTTGCCACACACATACCTACTTATTAACAAAATTAAGGAAGTCTCTGTTAAAATGATTCATAAATATTATCCTGCCAACCACTATATGAAGAAGTTTAAGAAAAACCTAAATTCAAATTGTACCTTTTATAATGACCACCCAGAAACGGTGTTGCATCTTTTTTGGAATTGTTTTCATGTAAGGAATCTGTGGCAAGACATCAGTAGATTTATAATTGAACACATTTATGAAGATTTTACACTATTATGGAGAGATGTACTGATTGGATTCTTTACCTACTATATAAATAAGTTGAAACAATTTTATGTAATTAATTTCATTATTCTTTTGGCCAAATTTCATATTCATAAATGTAAATTTACAAACAAAACACCACATTTTCTTACCTTACAAAAATAAATTGAACTATATTTTAAGACAATTAAATACTCTACCAACGAAAAAGCTGTTAGAATTATAGTGTGTGTATGCCCCTTAAGGTCCTTGTGTAATGTGATATTGTACCCCCTAGCCCAATTGTACTTAGTATATTATTTATATATACTTGTGTTCCCCCATGTACTTTTTGTATTGATTTGTTGTTAATAAAAATATATTAAAAAAAGCTTTAGATCTCCAAACTCATTTCCCCCTTGGTCTCACTTCCATCCATCCGGCTAGGGAATTGCAAATCCCGTAGAGGAGAAAGTCTCATCGCGAGACTGAGAATCAACATGGCTTGCTTCCATAGATTTCGCTAGCCATTTTAGTCAATAGAAAAATCTAAAAATCTGCGAGTTTGAGTTGTCTACACGAATTCCAAATGACTCGGCTGATAAAGAAAGTACTGTAGCTACATACAGCAACTGCTCTTCCAGGTTTCTTGCATCTTTGTTAACGAGCTAGTTAAATAACGTTAACTGAGCCTGCCATCCAGAGCTAACCTTGTTTAGCTGTCTAGCTAGCTTGATTCGCCTGGCTGCACTCTTCACAGTCTTCAGTGTTTGTTTTATGGTAAGTCTCATATGTTATTAATAGCATGTAGACTGGATGTTAGTGGTCTAGCCAGCTTACGAGCAGTGATTCTGGAGGGGTGTGGTGTTTGCTACTTGGCTATGTAACTACTTACGCTTCACAGACTGGCTCAGGGCCAGATCATTGTGGTGGACTGGAAAGGAGACAGCTGTAGCTAGGTTGACTCCAACATTGCTGCATGTCACATAGAGGGTCACATTTTTATAAATTACTGTTCCATCGTCTACCATAGTGACATCCTCCTCATCACCACCCCACTTGATTGACAGCAAAGAAGTGCTCCTCTCCTTGGGACTCGGTGTAACCCTCCACCCTATCTACCCCTGGTGCCCCCAGAGCAGGCGGTAAGGGACACCATCATTGCCACGATGCTGGAGTCTGTAAGGAACACGTTTCACGCCCAGCTGGCCACCGTCATGGACTCCCTGCTGGCGGCGGCGGTGTGTGAGATCGCCAAGATCTTTGAGAGCAGTCTGTGTGAGCAGCAGGAGGAGCTGACGCAGAGAGGAGAGGAGATCACAGGACTGAGGGGGAGGCTGGAGAGGGCAGAGAGGAGGCTGAAGAAGGAAGGAGAGGAAGAAGAAGGAGAAGGCCTATTGGACGTGGTAGAAGGACCAGAGAGAAAAACAGGAGGAGATGGCAGCCCTAGGCAGCAGTCTGAACCAAGAGCTGGTAAGAAAACCGGATGTCTCATCTGAAAATGATCTTAGGAACATTTTGGTTGAAAACACCCCTAAACTACTGTCTGGTTGTCTGTCCTGCGCCGTCTGTTCAGGTTCAAGCTGGGATTCGGATGCGGCCTCTGAGACCCCCAAATTGGTCCAGGACAGCGGGTGTAAGAAGCCCCCCAGGATGAAAAAGGAGGGGACTGAGCTGGAGGGGTCCTCCATCAAAGAAGAGGTCAGACTCACAGTCATTCTCTAACACAATAAGAATGTCTGTCTTTCTCAATGTTTTCAGTCTCATTTAGCTGTTTTATTACAATTTTATTCTGTCAAGGAGGTAGTCTCCCGAGTGGCGCAGCGGTCTAAGGCACTGCATCGCAGTGCTAGAGGTGTCACTACAGACCCGGGTGTGATCCCGGGCTGTATCACAACTGGCCGTGTTCGGGAGTCCCATAGGGCGGCGCACGATTGGCCCAGCGTCGTCCGGGTTAGGGGAGGGATTTGCGGCGGTAGGCCGACATTGTAAACAAGAATTTGTTCTTAACTAACTTGCCTAGTTAAATAAAGGTGGAATAAAAATAGTAATGCAGGTTTGAGTTGTTTTCAGTGGTTAATTTATTCAAAAGCTGTTCAACACTGTGCTGTGACGCTGTCCCCCACATTAATGTTTTATTCTCTCCCTTCAGCTTAAACATTGCCCTCTTCCACAGTTTGAGGAGCCCCACCCTGCCCCTGTAGAGGGGGAGGAGGAGGGCCAAGGGCCAGGGAGGAGCTCTTCTGCTGGGGTTCAGAGGCTAGGAGACCCCTTGTCTGACACAACAGGGACCAAGGTGAAGTGTAAGGAAGTTTAATCCTTAACCAATCAATACACACGTTTGTGTTTTACAGTCCCTCCAGGATTTAGCGATTCTGCAATAGATACTTTTTTTGGCTAAATCAACAACTCCTCGAATGTTATGCTAGGGCTTGCAAATTTGGCCAATCACCACACTATTATTGCATGAAACAGTCAAATCAATATTAACATTACCACATACAGTGCCTTCGGAAAGTATTTAGACTTTTTCAAGAAAAGCAAAAACAGTATATATATGTATTTTTTGCTACTTTATAAAAAATTTAAAACGGAAATATCACATTTACATAAGTATTCAGACCCTTTACTCAGTACATTGTTGAAGCACCTTTGGCAGCGATTACAGCATTGAGTCTTCTTGGGTATGACACTACAAGCTTGGCACACCTGTATTTGGGGAGTTTCTCCCATTCTTCTCTACAGATCCTCTCAAGCTCTCGGGTTGGATGGGGAGCGTTGTTGCGCAGCAATTTTCAGGTCTCTCCAGAGATGTTCTATCGGGTTCAAGTCCGGGCTCTGGCTGGGCCACTCAAGGACATTGAGACTTGTCCCGAAGCCACTCCTGCGTTGTCTTGGCTGTGTCGTTAGGGTCGTTGTCATGTTGGAAGGTGAACCTTCGGCCCAGTTTGAGGTCCTGAGCGCTCTGGAGCAGGTTTTCATCATGGATCTCTGTACTTTGCTCCCTTCATCTTTCCCTCGACCCTGACTAGTCTCCCAGTCCCTGCCGCTGAAAAACATCCCCACAGCATGATGCTGCCACCACCATGCTTCACCGTAGGGATGGTGCCAGGTTTCCTCCATATGTGACGCTTGGCATTCAGGTCAAAGAGTTCAATCTTGGTTTCATCAGACCAGACCGGGCTGTCATGTGCCTTTTACTGAGGAGTGGTTTTCGTCTGGCCACTCTACCATAAAGGCCTAATTGCTGGAGTGCTGCAGAGATGGTTGTCCTTCTGGAAGGTTCTCCCATCTCCACAGAGGAACTCTGGAGCTCTGTCAGAGTGACCATTGGGTTCTTGGTCACCTCCCTGACCAAGGCCCTTCTCCCCCGATTGCTCAGTTTGGCCGTGCAGCCAGCTCTATGAAGAGTCTTGGTTGTTCCAAACTTCTTCCATTTAAGAATGATGGAGGCCACTGTGTTCTTGGGGACCTTCAATGCTGTAGACATTTTTTGGTACCCTTTCCCCAGGATCTGTGCCTGGACACAATCCTGTCTCGGAGCTCTACGGACAATTTCTTCGACCTCATGGCTTGGTTTTTGCACTGACATGCACTGTCAACTGTGGGACCTTATATAAACAGGTGTGTGCCTTTCCAAATCCTGTCCAATCAATAGACTTTAGCACAGGTGGACTCCAATCAACTTGTAGAAACAGCTCAAGGATGATCAATGGAAACAAGATGCACCTGAGCTCAATTTCGAGTCGCATAGCAAAGGGTCTGAATACTTGTGTGAATAAGGTATTTCTGTTTTGAATTTTTAAGAAATCTGCAAACATTTCTAAAAAACTGTTTTCTCTTTGTCTTTATGGGGTATTGTGTGTAGATTGCTGAGGATTACATCAAACACAATTTTTTATAAGGCTGTAAAGTAACTGTGGAAAAAGTCAAGGGGTCTGAATACTTTCCGAAGGCACTGTATAACTGTCCGATCACCTCACTACAAAAAGAGGGCTTTCAATCTTAACCAGTCACCCCACTTTTACGGCATAAAATGGTTCAATAAAACAGGTCAACTTTTCCCCCGTCACCACATTTTCGTGACAAAATCATTGCAAATTGCCATGCAAAATGTAAGAATTGCCACAGCAATATCAAGCATTTTGGCCCACAACTATCACAACTAAACGGAATCCTGGTGGGACTAGGTTTAGAGGAAATAAACGTTGTCTGTTCATACTGTATTTTATACTTGTGGAATTGTTGGAATGTGTGTATTGAGCTCCCTTCATGATGTTGTTTCTTGTTCCTATCTCTTGGTAGTATCCCATTGGGAGGGAGACCCTAGACCTCTTCAGAGCCAGAGCTCCACCTCCTTCTTCCATGGCCCCCGGGTTGGACATTTCTCTCCCAGACCCGACCACAGGTCTCCTGGGCTTGACCCCTGGGCCAGTGGGGTTCCTCTAGAGCTTCAGGATCCCAGCTTCCTGGACCAGAGCCCAGACCAGGTACTAGAGCAGAGAGAGCTCCGACAGTCACACGACCAAACCAACCAATCCCAGAGAGGCCTGAGACCAAGAGACGACAGAGGGAGGGGCCTAGTTCATCAGAACCGCTGGTCATTGGCTGCCAAGGACCCAGTCAGACCACACCCCAACACACACGCTCACAAACACGCACAAGGTCATGCACACACACTGGGCGGGGCGAGACCCTACACTTGCCCGTACTGCGGCAAGAGCTTCAGCTACCCATCCCACCAGCGCAGGCACCTGCTGCGCCACACGGGGGTGAGGATGTACCCCTGCTTGGTGTGCGACAAGAGCTTCCTGACTCCGTCAGAGCTCACGGTGCACACCCGCGTCCACACAGGGGAAAGGCCGTTCGGCTGCACCCAGTGTGGGAAGCGTTTTGCCCGTAGCGGGAACCTCCGGGCCCACCAGAGAGACGTCCACCTGGGGAAGAGACCCTTTGTCTGCCAGGAGTGCGGCAAGAGGTTCGCCCACAGGGGCAACCTGAGGGTGCACTACCAGAAGGTACACCAGGGCCTGCCATACCATGAGGATGAGTACGACCAGGATGGCAACGCTCTCCCCTCTACTGGTTAAAGGGACAGGAAAACAGGGTCACATTCTGTAGGAGCTAATGGGAGAAAACATTTTGAAATGGAAAATGAGTGTTCTTACAGTGCATTCGGGAAGTATTCAGACCCCTTGACTTTTTCCACATTTTGTTACGTTACAGCCTTATTCTAAAATTGATTAAATAGTTTTTTCCCCCCATAGATAACACACAATACCCCATAATGACAAAACAAGGTTTGTAGACATTTTTGCAAATGTATATAAAAAAAAAAACATATCACATTTACATAAGTATTCAGAGCCTTTACTCAGTACTTTGTTGAAGCACCTTTGGCAGCGATTACAGCCTTGAATCTTCTTGGGTATGACGCTACAAACTTGGCAAACCTGTATTTGGGGAGTTTCTCCCATTCTTTTCTGCAGATCCTCTCAAGCTCTGTCGGGTTGGATGGGGAGCGTCGCTGCACAGCTATTTTCAGGTCTCTCCAGAGATGTTCTATCGGGTTCAAGTCTGGGCTCTGGCTGGGCCACTCAAGGACATTCAGAGACTTGTCCCGAAGCCACTCCTGCGTTGTCTTGGCTTTGTGCTTAGGGTTGTCCTGTTGGAAGGTGAACCTTCGGCCCAGTCTGAGGTCCTGAGCACTCTGGAGCAGGTTTTCATCAAGGATCTCTGTCATTTGCTCCGTTCATCTTTCCCTTGATCCTGACTAGTCTCCCAGTCCCTGCCGCTGAAAAACATCCCAACAGCATGATGCTGCCATCACCATGCTTCACCGTAGGGGTGGTGCAAGGTTTCCTCCAGACGTGGCGCTTGGCATTCAGGCCAAGTTGTAGAAACAGCTCAAGGATGATCAATGGAAACAGGATGCACCTGAGCTCAATTTCGAGTCTCATAGCAAATGGTCTGAATACTTATGTAAATAAGGTATTTCTGTTTTATTTTTAATACATTTGCAAATATTTCTAAAAACCTGTTTTCGCTTTTGTCATTATGGGGTATTGTGTGTAGATTGATGAGGAAAACAATTAATTTAATCAATTTTAGAATAAGGCCGTAACGTAACAAAATGTGGAAAAGGGGAAGGATTCTGAATACTTTCCGAATCAACTGTATTCAGCATTTTATATTATGTGAATTAGTCCTGCCTGCAACTCTGTTTGCATTTTAAACGAATGTCCCATAGGAATGACTCCGCCTGTCAAGAGACAATGATGAAGACAGGAAATGGTGAGAGCGAGAAAGGAATGCAGCGCTCTCTACAGAAGAAGAGAAGAAGTCATTTCTAAGTGTTGTGTAATTTAAAAGGTTGTCATACCGTTACTTGTTGTTTTTATACTGAGAGATGTTACCTTTAGTTACTATACATGTTTGTGTATGTTAGCAAAAGTGATAAACGTGCAAACTGATTATGTATGATACATTAGCATAACATTCCCTATTTTGTCTCAACGTTATTCATCCTCCGTGTGTACTGTTCATTTAAAGTCATTAACCGAAATAAAACCTGGTGTATTCATGGACAATCTTACAATGATGATACAGTATCTTATTTCGCAATATGCTTTCTTTGGTCCATAAGGTCAGGAAAAGCACGAAGAAGATTTTAGAAGGTACAGTACTGTTTTTTGGGTAAGTGCAGTACCATTGATTGCCACCAGAGAGCGGTCTTGCCACTATTCTCCATTATAATGCATAGAAGGCATGCACTTACAGTATAGTAGGCTGGTTGAAGATGTCTGCCACGTCAGCCTGTTTTACGTCAAGTGTGTGTGAAGCCTTCTGTTGGCTTTGCAAGTCACATTCTCTGCTTTCCACAGTTCCCTCAGGTCGTGTCAAAGACTGTTCTGCCGAATTGTTGGAGGAAGGAAAGAGAGGAAGGCTCCACACCACTTTCTCACTTGAGTATCTTACCTAGTCATTTTCAGATCTAATTTAGCTCTTTTGTAGTTTTGGCAACTATGTGTTTTCTATACCTGTTCACTCCTCTGCCTGTAGGCTTTACAGAAGCTCCCCACCTCTTGGCTACAACCCTTCTAATTTAGTGTACCCTGCGCGCACAACCCTTGTGGAACTCCTGGTCTCTGGCAGCTTTTGGAACTGCCAATCTGCGGTGAAGAACACTGAGTTCATCTCAGCGTATGCTGCCCTTCAGTCTGTTGACTTTTTGGTCCTGACGGAGACATGGATCACCCCACCCAGAGAACACTGCTACTCCAGCTGCTCTCACTTTATCTCACTACGTTTTCTATCATAGTCTGAGAGCATCTGGTTGTTGTGGTGGTGGCACAGGGCTACTCATTTCTCCTAAGTGGAGATTTTGTGTTTTCTCCCTCTCTCACCTGTCTGTCTCCTCATTTGAATTCCATGCTGTCACTGTCACTTGTCCACTCAAGCTTAGGATTGTTGTCATCTATCGCCCACCAGGTGTCCTTAGAGTTCCTCAATGAGCTTGACACCTTGATAGGCTCATTTCCTGACGATGGCTCACCGCTCTTCGTTTCTTTCCAACTCTCTCTTTCCTTTCTCTCCTTGCCTCTTTTGACCTCACCCTTTCCCAGTCCCCTCCCACTCACAAGGCAGGCAATATGCTTGACCTCATCTTTGCTAGAAGCTGTTCTCCTACTAATCTCACTGCAACCCCCCTCCAGGTCTCTGATCACTACTTAGTTTCCTTTTCTGTCTCCCTTTCCTCCAATCCTACCCACCCAGCCCCTGGAATGGGTGGCCACTAATAAACTGGTCCTGAACATCTCTAAAACTAAGAGCATTGTATTTGGTAAAAATCATTCCCTAAATTTGAGACCTCAGCTGAATCTGGTAATGACTGGTGTGGATGTTGAACAAGTTGAGGAGACTAAATTACTTGGCGTTAACTTAGATTGTAAACTATCATGGTCAAAACATATAGATTCAATGGTTGTAAAGATGGGGAGAGGTCTGTCCGTAATAAAGAGATGCTCTGCTTTTTTTGACACCACACTCCAAAAAGCAAGTTCTGCAGGCTCTAGTTTAGTCTATTCTCGATTATTGTCCAGTCGTGTGGTCCAGTGCTGCAAGGAAAGACCTAGTTAAGCTGCAGCTGGGTCAGAACAGAGCGGCATGTCTTGCTTTTCATTGTAATCAGAGGACTGATATAAATACTATGCATGCCAGTCTCTCTTGGCTAAGAGTTGAGGAGAGACTGACTGCATCACTTCTTCTTTTTATAAGAAACAATGTGTTGAAAATCCCAAATTGTTTGCATAGTCAACTTACACACAGCTCTGACACACCCACCAGACATGCCACCAGGGGTCTTTTCACAGTCCCCAAATCCAGAACAAATTCAAGAATGCGTACAGTATTATATAGAGCCATTATTGCATGGAACTCCGTTCCAACTCATATTGCTCAAATAAACAGCAAACCTGGTTTCAAAAAACAGATAAAGCAACACATCACGGCACAACGCCTCTCCCCTATCTGACTTAGAGGTTCATCTTGTCATCCATGTTTGTGGGTGCTAGAGAGAATGGGGTCAGACAAATATACAGATACATCTTAAAATCGCTTTGCTCTGTGAGTGTATATGAGGAGGGTCACAGAGGCTTTGCTGTGTTTTCTGTTGATATATTTTTGTGTATATATACCGAGTGTACAAAACATTAGGAACACCTTCCTAATATTGAGTTGCCCTCAAAACAGCTTCAATTTGTCGGGGCATTGTCTACTAGGTGTGAAAAGCATTCCACAGGGATGCTGGCCCATGTTGACTCCAATGCTTCCCACAGTTGTGTCAAGTTGGCTGGATGTCCTTTGGGTGGTGGGCCATTCTTGATACACACGGTAAACTGTTGAGCATGAAAAACCCAGCAGCATTGCAGTTCTTGACACACTCAAGCCGGTGCGCCTGGCACCTACTACCATACCCCATTCAATGGCGCTTAAATATTTTGCCTTGCCCATTCACCCTCTGAATGGCACACAATCCATGTCTCAATTGTCTCAAGGCTTGAAAATCATTCTTTAACCTCTGTATATTTTGGTGTGCATATTTTGGTGTGTATATTTTGCCCCCAGGGAGAGGAAACAAATGCACATTTAATTAGACACACCGTGGCTGTCACCCAAATATTGTCTGACATTTTCATGACCTACAGTAAAATGGGGTGTTTTTTGGCGTTGGAGAACTTCAGTATGTGGGAATGTCCTTAACTGTCAATATATTCTGCAGTTACAATAGTAATAGTAACTATCTGTAACTCTGATAGGCACAGGCCTGCGTATGTACACGCCACCTACTAGACTGGGTATAACTCACTTATAAACTCAGCAAAAAAAAGAAACGTCCTCTCACTGTCAACTGCATTTATTTTCAGCAAAATTAACATGTGTAAATATTTGTATGAACATAACAAGATTCAACAACTGAGACATAAACTGAACAAGTTCCACAGACATGTGACTAACAGAAATTGAATAATGTGTCCCTGAACAAAGGTGGGGGTTCAAAATCAAAAGTAACAGTCACTATCTGGTGTGGCCACCAGCTGCATTAAGTACTGCAGTGCATCTCCTCCTCATGGACTGCACCAGATTTGCCCGTTCTTGCTGTGAGATGTTACCTCACTCTTCCACCAAGGCTTCCCAGACATTTCTGGGGGGAATGGCCCTAGCCCTCACTTTCCGATCCAACAGGTCCCAGACATGCTCAACGGGATTGAGATCCAGGTTATTCGCTGGCCATGGCAGAACACTGACATTCCTGTCTTGCAGGAAATCACACACAGAACAAGCAGTATAGCTGGTGGCATTGTCACGCTGGAGGGTCATGTCAGGATGAGCCTGCAGGAAGGGTACCACATGAGGGAGGAGGATGTCTTCCCTGTAACACACAGCGTTGAGATTGCCTGCAATTACAACAAGCTCAGTCCGATGATGCTCCAAATCGATCCCGCTCCAGAGTACAGGCCTCGGTGTAACGCTCATTCCTTCGACGATAAACGCGAATCCGACCATCACCCCTAGTGAGACAAAACCACGA